ATTTTTAGGCCCTGGGACAGATGAGATTTCCCACATAGCCATCCATTCAAATGCAATTATTTGGGATGTCCCAAGACTGCCTTGGGTGACTGGGGTCCCTACTCCTGAAAGTGCAGCTTATATTAGCATTGAAATAGCTGCAGAAATCCTAGCCCCCTTGCTCCTCTGACAGATTTAATCCACAAAGTATCCTTTGACCTATACATCCCCTCCCATCCCACCATGCATAGTAGTATACAATAGTACTTTTCATGTACATCTTTGCAATGTGATTCTGCTGTATTGGGACATCTCACTAGTTGCCAGGGAGATGACCCACCTGGGCCTCCACATTTGCCTTGAAAATTGCAATAATAAATTCAATCAATTTGTGTCTATACCTCATGCAATTTGTACTGTATGAAGGAAGAAGTGAATGGTTTTTGAACACTTGTGTGACAAGCCAATATCTTAAAGTCCCCCACATAGAACATGGGGTTGGTCACCTTTGCAACACCATCTGCAGAGGGCAGAATGTCCCAGATGAGCCTCTGAGGTCATCATGGGGCATTGTGCTGGTCTGCAAAGGTAACTTAGGAGGATATGCCATCATAGCCCACTGAGGCTGGGATGGGACATCCCACTGTTCCCTCTGCCAAGCAGTGGGATGTCCCACAACAGCCTCTAAGGCTATGTTGGGATGTCCCACCCTCCCCTTTGCCAAGCAGTGGGATGTCCCACAACAGCCTCCAAGCCTACATTGGGACATCCCACCCTCCCCACTGCCAACCAGTGGGACATCCCACCCTCCCCACTGCCAACCAGTGGGATATCCCCCAACAGCCTTTAAGCCTACATTGGGACATCCCACCCTCCCCTTTGCCAATCAGTGGGATGTCCCACAACAGCCTCTAAGGCTACATTGGGACATCCCTCCCCCCCCTCTGGCAAGCAGTGGGATCTCCCACAACAGCCTCTGAGGCTACATTGGGACATCCCTCCCCCTCCTCTGGCAAGCAGTGGGATGTCCCACAGCAGCCTCTGAACAAGTGGGGAATGGTGCATTGCTCTTCACATAGTCTTGTTCCCATGTCACCAGTTTACCCCCATGCTACTGATATTAGTACCTGGACAATATATATTTGCTCAACTGTTAGAGCACTGTTTATCACCTAAGAGGTTGCTTCAATCCCAGCTCTGGTCACATTTCCATCATAAGGCTACATTTGGACATCCCACTTCCCCCTCTGGCAGCTGGGGGTAGTGTTGCTGTGGCTCAGGGAGCTGTCCTAAGCCAAGGGCCATACCACATCTATATTATTGAGTATTAAAATAATTATTGTGGATTTGGTATGTGGCAACACAAGGCTACATTTGGTAATAGTTGTCATAGTGACTAAGCTGCTTGTTGTTGAGCAGGTCAGCCTTTGGAGCTGAGCCACAGCAACACTAGCTGAGGCTATGTCCCAGAACACCCTCTTGGGTTATATTGGGACATCCCACCCCACTCTCCAGCAGCCAGTCCAGTGGTTGTAGCACCTGGTGAACATCTAGGAGGTCACTGGTTCAATCTTAGGACTGGTCACATCTTCCTCATAAGGCTACATTGGGACATCCCTCCCCCCCCTCTGGCAAGCAGTGGGATGTCCCACAACAGCCTCTAAAGCTGCATTGGGAACATCCCTCCCTCTGATCTGGCAAGTAGTGGGATGTCCCACAATAGCCTCTAAGGCTACATTGGAACATCCCTCCCCCCCTCTGGCAAGCAGTGGGATGTCCCATGACAGCCTTTAAAGCTACATTGGGACATCCATCCCCCTCTCTGGCAAGTAGTGGGATGTCCCATGACAGCCTCTAAGGCTACATTGGGACATCCCTCCCCCTCCTCTGGCAAGCAGTGGGATGTCCCACAACAGCCTCTAAGGCTACATTGGGACATTCCTTCCCCCCCTCTGGCAACCAGGGGGATGTCCCACAATAGCCTCTAAGGCTATATTGGGACATCCCTCTCCCCCTCTGGCAACCAGTGGGATGTCCCACAACAGCCTCTGAGGCTACATTAGGGCATCCCACCCTCCCCTTTGCCAAGCAGTGGGATGTCCCACAACAGCCCCTACACCTACATTGGGACATCCCTCCCCACCATCTGGCCAGCAGTGGGATGTCTCACAGCAGCCTCTAAGGCTAAGTTGGGACATCCCACCCCCCTGTCTGGCCAGATGTCCCACACCACTCTCCACATAACACAAGGCCAAAATGCTATCAGACCATTTGCATGATCATAGGAGGCATGCACCCTTGTTGCACTCCAAAAATTTCCAGATTGAAGGACCATGTTGGAAATGGTGTATTCTGTGCATTGCACTCCACATAGTTTTGTTCCCACCTCACTGGCCCATGCCCCATGCTACTGATGCTATCACCTAGACAATATACACAGCTGAGCAGTCAGATCACCTGGTTAACACCTAAGAGGTTGCTTCAATCCCAGCTCTGGTCACATTTCCATCATAAGGCTACATTGGGACATCCCACCCCCCCCCCCCTCCAGCAGCCAGTGGGATGTCCCACAAAAGCCTCTCCAGCTATGTTGGGACATCCCATCCCCCTTCCATAAACCAGTGGGATGTCCCACAACAGCCTTTCAGGCTATGTTGGGACATCCCAACCCCCTTTCCAGAAACCAGTGGGATGTCCCTCAACAGCCTTTCAGGCTATGTTGGAACATCCCATCCCCCCTTCCAGAAACCAGTGGGATGTCCCACAGCAGCCTCTCAGGCTATGTTGGGACATCCCATCTCCCCCTCTGGACACCAGTAAGATGTTATACAAATGCCACAGAGGCAAATGTTGGACATCCTACCCTGTATCTCTGACATCCACATTGCCTCTGCCCACAATTGGCATATATATTGTCACATTGTAACAGGCTCAATCAATGGCACCAATCAGTTCAAGTCAGATCACCATGATTTTTGGAGATTCAGAATCAGGGCAATGAGACACAGGTCTGCCTTGCAGATGTCCATTTCACATATAACCAAGATTGTGAGCCCATTATTGCATAATTCTTTGCACAAGATTCATATCCTTTGAGCCCTGTGTAATTTCTAGGGAACAGTACCAAAAAATATGTGCAGAGATGAAAGGTCAGTGACCAGATGAGCAGTGAGCAGTGAATAACTGCATTTGAGTGGGTGTAGCCATATGCATGAGTAGTTGCTGACATGATCAGGTTCACTCAATGGCTCCAAATGTCCTATACATATCATTTCTTGAAATAGTCATGGCACCCAAAGAATGCTATTCAAATTGTATCCAGCAATCATACTCTGCAGGTCTCAAGTGTTGTATTATTTCTCAATCTATGTCCTTCTACTATGATTTTATTTGAAGCAAGTCTTGAGATGTGAGGCAAGGGGACACAGGTAGGGGGTAGCACATGATTGATAAGCAGCCACCAAGTGTAGATAAGACAATACTACGTGTAGAACTTCAGATCACAACAACACACTGCATAATTGCATAAATTTTTGGTACTGTTCTCTAGATGATACACAGGGCTCCAAGGATATGAATCTTGTGTGAAGAAATATGCAATAATAGGCTTCCAATCTTACTTATATGTGCAATGAACATCTGGAAGGAGAGGGCTCTCTACTGCCCAAAAAGCATTGAAAGCCTGCTGCACAATTGATGTATAGAAGACCACTATTAGTTTGCTAAGGTGTACAGATGCCTAGGTCACTTGCAATTTTGATTGTATATGTGAAATCAGCCTATGCTTTTTCAGACTTATATAGTGCTAGAACTAGTCTAATTTTTACACCAGGACCTACATCTAATTTCCCTGATTCTGAATCTGCAAAAATTGCGGTGATCCGACTTGAATTGATTGAGATATCAAAGTTATAACATTTAGCTACTATATGTGTGTGATTTTGTTTATTTGGCCTTGTTCTCAGTTTTGAAAATAGCTGTAACATGAGGAGCAACAAGGCACAAACACAGTAGCTAGGGACTGCAGGAATTGTATATACAGATTGAGGCATCATGTACAGTGCCTAACAGCAATGGACATGTGATGGACATTGGTACCATATGTGATTTGACCTTGGACTGCCCCTAACAAAGAGTTGATAAGTGGCCAGTACTGAAATGTAACAGTAACAGCTGGGGTGACTGACACAAAACTATGGGATGTGGTAGAGGACTCCCAGGCAATCAGGGAGAAAGAGGGAAAATGCCAATTGGATCACCCAATCTTGAGGTATACACTAAACTGCCTTGAAACCCTTCAAACACAACAGCAGGAATATCTCAACAACGAGCATGCAGAATTGGGTGAACAAGGGCACCCTGGAAATGGGTCAGTGAGAGGGATTTGTGGCTTGAAAAGTGAGAGAAGCAGTGCAGATATGCATGAGGTATGATGAGAGGACCTCAAGGGGTGGGCCTTGCCACAAAAACATGAACATCTCCATAACTACTGCACCAATCACAATGATCTAGACATCTCCAGGGAGTCGTCATCTAGTAGTGCGAGTCTGCAAAAAAGCGAGAGATGTGTCAGAGAAACCACTGAGATACAGCCCCAAGATGATAGGGGTAACTCCAGGCAAGTGAACAAGCAGGTGATGACCTCAGGACAACAGTTGGGGTGATCGAACATGGGCCTCAGGAAGGCAGTTGGGTACTCATAGATAAACACAGAAAACAAGGAGCCACCATGATCAGACCATTGGATCCTGAGCTACATGCAAAACTGTCTCACTGCCCTCTGAACACAAAAATGGTGATATCTCAATAGCAGCTCCATGGAATTAGACAAAAGAGACCCCCCCAGAGAGGTCTTGGCGAGGGGAACGAGTGGTGTGAAAAGCGATAGGAAAGGTGCAGGACTGAGTGGAGAGCCACAGACCTGTCCCCCCAAATCTGATGGTAACATCATTGCTGACACCAGCGACATCAATATACAAGCAGCACATGACAAATATGTTGTAGGGGAAGCAAAAACTACACTAGTAGTAATCTTCATTTATATACTCCTCAGTGAAGTTGTCCTCATATTGTGCAGCATTACCCCTGTTAACCCAATGAGGTTCACCTGACTGGGTTGGAGGGTAGTAGTCATCAGTATATGGACTGTTGTAGTAAGGATGGTTGGTTCGAGATGGAATGCGATGGAATCCTTGGTGAGATGGAGGAAATTGATTGCAGTAGGCCAGAAGGTAACACCTAGAGAGAATGCAAGTCAATGGTGAAACCTCTGCAAAATTGAATTACTCACATGATATGGGATATTAGATGGGCCAGGATCACAATAGTTTGTATGGTCACCCTGAGAATCCTACATAATTTTTCCTTAGTCTTGTTACTGAAAGTCAGAGACCTGGATACTCACTTGTTGTCTGGGAAAAGACTGCTGGGCTGGGCCGGCCTCTTGCATGTGAGGACAGCTTGGAAGATTATCCTGATGTAGATCCTATATGATGCTTCATTAGTCTTGTTATCAGACCATAGGAACCAAACCCTACCCCATATTGCAGAGCTAGGCATGGGAGGCTTGGATGGGCCAGGCTCTTGAGTGTGCACATTGCTTGGAATTGTGGACAGGTCATGATGCAAATCTTGTGCAATGGGGCATGCATCCTGGCATTGATTGCATGGTGCAGTTCAACAGTCAGACTGTAAAGCCTTGCGAACATCAGCAGATACCAGATATTGAGTAAAGAGCAGAACTTACCTGGGGACCAATAGTATCACAATTTGATGCCTCCATGTGGGGTCGCTTCCAAGAGGGAAAAGGGAGTTGTTGCTGTGGTCAGGGTTGTGGCTGTCGAAGGACCTCCATGCCTTGCTGCTGGTGATCCATTTCCTTGAGGGACTTCTGCCACTCTGGATCATCTGAGATCTGCTGCAAAACAGTACCATTGGTAGCTTTGACAAGCACGATCTCACCCTTCAAAGGGTCAGCATCCAAAATATCAATGACCTCTACACAGAACTTCAGCATCCAACTGGATGAATAAAATAGGGAATACCTTTGTTCCAGCACTTAATCTCAATTTCCAGCACATCATCCAGACTATCTTGTTCTTCCTCATCATCAGTTTGCCCATCATACAAAAGACCCAGTTTTCTCCGAAGGCAAGGCACTACAAGTTGACAAAGAGGGCCAGCCTTAAGTTTCTTGTACTTGAAACCAGGGCCCAGTGGAGATACACCATGCAGCCAGTTGACAATAGTGAGGCGGCTCTTCTGCAAAAACTCAAGAAGCTGGTGCCAGGAAACTTTCTGGGGATCACCAACTTCAATGCCACATGTGACTGAGCAAAGGATCAAGATAAATGCACATACAGCACAAGAATAACTTACTGCACAGATCTCTCAATGCAGCCAACATCTTCCCCTTCATCATGCTTCTGAATACTCTACAGTTGTGGTCTCTTGGAGTCTCCTTTGTATGGCAATGTAGTTCCAGCACAGAACCCACATCTCCAATGGAACCAGTGCCAGCCACCCTGGCATCTGCACCATTGCCATTCCTGAGACACCTACAACAATCCAATGAGGTCGAATGAAACATGCAAGAAATAAACTTACTTGAAAATTGTGGTATACTTATCCATGAGTGACCAGACATCGATGCCATTTTCATTGATGAAGTTTCTTATTGTCTCGGAGCCTCCAAATATGCCAGAAGTTTGACATCCTGCAGGGTCCTGTCCAACATACATTACCACTCCAACTATCTCAATATCCTCAAGATTGGACCATGCCTCTGCCTGTGGAACGATCAGAATCAATGGCTGCACAGTTGCAACCACATACCAATCCAGAAAATTGTGTCTTTGCATTGTCCACTCTAGCTGCAATAGATTTGACAGATCGATTAGTCAGTATGGCAGAGGAGCTCTCACTCCACTCATAGACAGCTTTTAACTTTTCCCTCCTTGCTGCAAAGTCATCCTTGGGGATGCCTATCATGAGGGTGTTGTACTCCTTCATAATCAAATTGTTGATTGAATTTCGATCAGCTGGTCAGGATGTTAGAATGGTAGATGTGAGAGGGAGGAAAGCCATACCACCATCTGGTTTGGGCTGCATGGCCCAATACCACAAGTGGAAGAGGTTGGCCTCATTAATTTTGGTATGAGAAGCCTTAACACTAAATCCCACAGCAATGAGTATGTCATGTGTAGACCACCTGTGCTGTCAGCCAAGTTCTTCTGCTGTCATCTTGACATCCTTCACAAAAGCATGTATTTCGTCTAATGCTGCTGTGGACAGATTCCCCAGCTTCTTGAGGTTTGGGAGTTGGGTGTCACAGTCACTGTGGTTTGCAGCATCAATGTCCTTGGCATCTATAGCCCTACCTTCGCCCTTCTTCTGAAGTCTAGTATAGATTGGGCCACCTTCTTGATGAGGATGGAAAATGTCCCCTACAGGATGGGCAGAGTCATCAGACTCATATGCAGGTGGTGAGGATGGGGGAAGCAGGGACTGGGCACAAGAAATGGTCTGAGCATTGCAAGCTCATGCATCATCATCATCTAGGAGTCAACATGTCAACATGAGGCAGATGTGTATATAGATGGTAACAGGACAGGATCACAACAATTCTTTATCTATATAACAACCAAGGGAATGATGGGTGGCAGGAAACAGTCACAAGTATCCAAAGCACCAAGCTTTGAAACACAAGTGGGCACCAAGCCCACCATTGCATGACCAGAGAGGCACCAAACCCCAAAATCAAAAGAAATGAGAATTATCTGAAAAAAATGTGAGAGAACGAGGGATACAAAATGGAAAAACCTACCATGGGAGTCACTCGAGCTCTCCATCTCATCGTCATTCTCATTCTTATTGTAATTGGAACCCTTGTCATCATCATTTCTACTGGGCAGCCGGTCATTCTCTTTCTTGCTACCAGATGGCAGGTCATCCTCTTTCTTGCTACCAGATGGCAGCTCATCCTTGTTCTCACTACTGGATGGCTGATCATCCTCATTCTTGCTACCAGACAGCTGATCATCCTTGTTCTCATTACTGGAAGGCTGGTCATCCTCATTTTCATTGTTGTCAGGATTCTCCTCCATCTCCTCCATTGCAGAGTCCTCATCATGGATTTGGTCATCCAGGCACAGGGAAGGGGGAGGGAGCATTGGGGTGTTCGTGATGGAAGGACAAGGTGTCAAGGAGCATCTTCTATCTCTCAAGCCAAACATGTGCTCTTCCCAGCCTTTGGGAGGCTGGACTGCACACCACAGTTTCAGTTTGCCAATCATATCCTTCAGAGTAGATTGCCATGAGCAGAAAACAACATTAGAGTAATGGATGAGAAATATACTACAAGACGTACCTCTGAGTGTTGCACTCCATCATTAGAGACAACAGCACCACCTTTTTTTACTCATTTGGAAACTGGGGCATTTTGTGAGGACAGAATCCTTCAGTTGCAAAGAACGTGAGTGTTCAAGTCAGCAATGGAGTCCCTCGAAGGCTCCAGGATATCAGCAGAGTGGGGCATGGTTGTATGGGGGTGTTGAGAAACGGGGGGAGGCAAGGTGAGTATTTAAGGTCAGAGCATGTCAAGCCAAGATGAACCACATGGGAAAAAAAAACCATCTAGAACATGTTGTCTCAGCATGCAAAGTTCTGGATATAGCATCAGCAAGGACATATGAAACCACAAAAAGAGGACACAACATAAGTGAGACAAAGGAAAAGCATGCAGGAAAGAAGTGGTTGTAATGCATTGTCACACACCAAAGGTGTTTGGTGAGGTGGACATGGATACAGCTGATGAATGGAGATGAAGACCATAGCCCTCATGTGAAGAAGGACAGCCAGAAATGTCAGCAGTCATCCCTCACACAAGAACAAGTCATCAGTGCCAGAGAAAAAGAAAGGGAGCAAGTTAAGTGCTGGCTAAAATTCTTAAGTGCCCATGTATGGCATTCTGGTTTTCAACATGTCTCCACCATTTCTGCAGATACAGAGACCATTCCCACACTCACTTGTGGTGCTCAGCCATGCAATCTTACCTTCCAAAATTGGAAAGGGTTTGCACACTCCACATGTTTCTACAGCACTCCCTCCAAAAGATGCTCATTTCACTAACTTCTTCTGATATGGCTGCCTCTACATCAATCATTTCGCTTGTCCCCTTTGCTAGGGACCATGGCTACATATATCTACCAGGAGTTCCTACCAGCTTCCATCCTGAAGCATCCTGGTACATCCCACCCTCATCTGTGCCCTCTCAGCCCATCCAGCTTGGACAGTGTGTTCTTTGGTCACCTCAGGTCTGTCATTCACTTGGAAAGGTCTTATGTGGTTGTTTCAGTCTCTCCAGTCCAAGAAGCATATGGATCCTTCCTCCCTGCTCCCTGCAATGTCTTCATACTGGTCTCATCCATCATTCTTCCAAGATTGTGACAGCTACAGTATAATCTACTGTTCTCCACTCTCCCTGATTGCATCCATGATGAGTATGATGCACATCTTGCCTCCTTGTTGCAAGATACAGCAGAAGACACTCCCCCTTCATCCTCTCTTCCAACAGAGCCTCATTCATGAAGTTTTTATTTGCTTCACTGAGAGGATGGTTTGGGGGGGAAGGTTGCAATCCCCTATGCTCCTGTCACCCCACAGACCCCCAAAGCTTGACCCCTGTTGACATCTGACTCACCCTGTCCACTTTTGGATGTACTGTATTGGCATCAGATCAGCACTGCCTCTCTGTCATCCCACCTTGGCCTAGAAGCAATCTCTTTGAGATGTGACATGCACAGCCTCCCCCTAATGTGATTCCAGTGTGCTTTCCCAGTTCCTGACATCACTTGACTCATACTTTGATGTTCTGACTGTCTTTGACTCACCTATTGCCAATACTTACCAATCTTTTGACTTTGCTTACTGGTTCTTTGCTTTTTGGCTTGCTAATCCTTACCAATGCTTACCAATGCTTTCCAAGACAATTACCCATTGCTTACATTCCTTATTCATTGGTTACCAATCACTTACCAAGTGTTTGCACCTTGTTTTCCAAGGGCAACACCCCTGTACTGTATATAAATCGCTGTACTTAGATAGCAAAAAAAAAAAAGACATCAGAGAGCCCCTCTTGCTTGCATTTTATCATCACTCAGTAATTCATTCAGCAGCTTTGATAGTTGAGACTTTATTAAGGGTCTAACTATCATCTACTTCACTTATCCTTGTCTATCATCAATATACTTCACTCCAAGCCCTCCCTGAGCTCAGTGCAGCTTAGGACATTGAATTAAGCTGCCATCCATCCTTCTGTAGGCTGACAGCAGTCTACCCTATTGCTTTCTATCACATTCTTGCTCCCTCTTTGTCAGGAGCACCCCCAACCCTCAGCACTCATCCTTGAGTGTCATAGCTCACAAAAAACCACCCAAATCAAAGGCTCTACCACCTAGATACTGCATAGGCACACCACCACTTGCTCTTTTTGTCTTTTGTGTTGGTTTTGGTTGGTTTTCACCACTGAACCACACTTTGACTCACACTGGTGTAGGAATGACTTCAATGACAAGCTGGGCAGTGGAGAGCTCTATTTGGATTGGGAAGACCTTCATGGAAAGTGGTCAGCCTACACAAAGAAGGCCTTTGGGGCCAATGGTACAGAGGATGGCAGCAGAGAGGATGAGGCTGGTCAAACCACAGTAAAAGCATGGAAAGGAAAAAAGCAGTCTCAATTCTCCCTGTCCACCAATGACAATGGCACACCCATTCTTCCAAATCTCTTGGACTTATGGACACTGGAATTAAAGGACATCATGAGGGTGTTCATAACCAGCCATTATCATACATGCCAATTTCCATGGTTGATGAGTTACTAACATCTAAACACAGGCTTGGCTTGTGGGAAGACAAATGCCAGTGTACCTTGGGCTGCAATAGCTGACAACCAGGCATCCTATGTGTTTTCCAAGTATCTTCCTCCCAATATCCTGTTCAAAGAGCCCACCAGGCCAACACATCATGAACTAATTGAAACCTTGGAGTTCTGGAAGGAGTGACAGCAGGAGCACCCAGAAGATGTCTTCCAGTTCCGAAGGTGGAGATCTCAGGATGGTTCCCTGGAGGAGCTGGTTGCCAAACACCAACACCGGTCAGAAAAAGCCAAAGGGAAGAGACCCTGGATGGAAGGTGAGGTCATGATCAATTTGGATATACATAACTGATCACACATTAAGTAAATTCCATTGACAGCTCTGACTACAGACATCACTCAGAGGAGGAACCAGCTGCTCCCACAAAACCCTCCACCAAATGGCAACAAATAGATGGTATGTCAGAGCTGGTCAGATTCTTTACTGGTAACCCTAACATGACCTTGGAATTGTGTGCCAAAAATCATCCCACTGGAACATCCAATGCACAGGAGGACAACAGATGATGGAACCAGTCCACATCAGACTGGCACAATACAGCTACTGCATACCCCAAGCCAGCTGGTAAGTGGTATCTGGCAACAATGAATATTGCTGATAGAATTGTATCAGACATTCATGCCAATGATGGTGGTGATTCAACTGCAAGGAAGCCCAAGCCCAAGCCAAGAATCAGATCCAATGGTCAGTTTCCATGCACACTTGGTTAATCCTCTCATTACAGCATTCTACAGCAGCCCAGAATGATAAGATGGTCATATCACTTAATGATCATAGGTATACATCCATAACACAATTACACACACTAATCAATGTCAGGAGTTGATCTGGTGGGTAGGAATTCAAATGCCAGGCCTAGAGGCCATGCAATGGACAGGGAAGATAGACTGTTGGATCAAGCAGAAGAGGATGGTGTGGCTCATTTCCCAGAGCAGAATTGTAGGCCCCCATGGCAGCCAGATGAGAATTATCCTATTCCAACCATGAGGAGGCAAAGGTAGAATTGAGGCCAGTACCTAATGTTTTCCAGTAGACTGGCAACAACCATATATAGTGCACAGTGCAAGAATTGCTGGTGAATTACCAGCCCCATAGCTACCATATACCATAACCCACTGTCATAATCCAATTGCAGCCAATTTGTGCACTTCTCCAATTCCATTCAACATAATGTTCATTGAAATGAGTTAAATATACAAATTAAAGCTGGTCTGGTTTAAGACAGTAGCCTACACCTGCTGGCTCTTCCTCCAGAAGATCTGCTAACTGTTTCCAGAATCTGGTAAGCATGGCATGCTGCTCAACATGTGATTGCCACTCCCTGGTTGCATCCACCAGGGTATTGGCATAATACCTATATGTGGTGATCAGATTGGCATTGTGTGTGGCATTGATGTCTGGCTGATGCACCCCACTCCTAGCCATGATACTGGAGATCCACCTTGACATTTGAACTGGTAGACATGTTTAGCTATGGTTGCATAGGAACTTCTGGACTTACACTTGGTTTGTGGAGTATCAACTCCTGGCTGTATGGTGAACTCCTGGGAGACTGTAAAAGCTCTAAATGCAACAATGGGATTGGCACTGGTGATGGGGATCTAGCTGGTGGTATCAATGTGGAGCTGAATGATGCAGGAGCATCTGAAAGGTCCATAGGTTGACGAGGACCAGGGAAATTGCTGCCAGGTGATGTGAATGTTGTTGGGCTGGGAACTGGGATAGGATTGCAACAGGCTAGTGACACAGAGGGAGTTAAGGACTGGAATTGAGGCTCATGCAATAGGATGAATGGTCATGATGATTGGCCAGCTGCTTGAGTTGGGTAGATGTAAGCTGACAATCTTGTGGCAGCAGGCAACTGAAATGCTGGTTCTTGTAAAGGACTGACCAGTGGGGACTGAAATGGTGGGGGTGACCCCCAAGGTGGCTTGTGCAATGGCATACCTGGGGCAACAGGCAGTGGTGATTTGTCCCATGCCAGCTCAAGTAATGGGGTGCTTTCAGAGAGGTGTGTTGATATGGAGTCCCAAGGAGGCTCAACCAATGGGCTGCTAGAGGAGGGAGATGGTGCCAATGACTCCCATGCTGGCTCTATCAAAGGTGATCTGGGTGAACCAGAGGACTGGAAGGAGGGTTCCATTCCAGTTGGGTGTATTGTTTGAGCCAGGGACAGCTCAAAAGGTGGCTCACATAATGGGGATGATGGCATGTCCAGCAGGTTGTTTTCAGTAAACATTTCCTCATCCTCATTGAGAGATGTGAGCTGCTACATATCATGGTGTGACAGAATTACTGCACACAGTCATTAGAAGTAATGGTCCTTGGACTGGTTGACTTACAGAGTTTATCTGGACTGCTGGAACTGAATCTAACATTTCTGGGAGCCATATGAAAGTTCAAAACATTGTAGGCACTGTGGGGATTACACTGATGTTTGAGAATGATTTTGGTACCAGTGATAAGATTGTATTACACAATATTTTTTCATCAGTCATCATGCTGGATGTGCAAGTGCATACATAATGGAAATGGGCACTTAGTGGAATGACTGTCAACTGCCATACATTACTCCCACCAAAATATGTTCAATGGTTAAACCAGTACATTGAATATTGTAAATCACAGCATCACCAGAGTGAGCATTTGTATTGTGCTTATGTAAGCCTGTTGAATGGTGTATGCTAGCTGGCAAATTCACCACACTGCTCAAGCACCCACCACCTGCACACCTAAGCTTTAACAGCACTATGTCTACCACCAACACCAGCACCTTCATCCTGGCACAATCGACTGACAACATCCAGCCAGTCATCACCACTGAAAATGCCAAGCAGATGGTTGAGGAGGCTGCCAGGGTTACAATGCAGGCACTGAGAGGACTTTGGGGCTGGGACACTAAGCACTGGGGCAAAGTGGCTCAGCTTGTGTGGGCCCAGCTGGTAAGTGAAATCACAGCCATGATATCCATTCCTGACATCTACATAGGGAATGGTCTCCACAGTTGTTGAACATCTACCCCTGGCATTCAAGATCCCTCCACATCTTATTGCTATCAATATATGCACATGGTTGACCCAGCAACAATCTTTGCCACACAAACATGGCCACCTTTCAACCAGATGATGACAGCACAAGAGGCCAATGTGAAGGATCATGTGTGGTATTGCCTTCATCACCAGCCTAAGTCTCACCCATATTACAAGGTCATGGAGGAGCTTACTGGGCCTTTGTTGAGGGCCAAGCACCAGGCACAGCTGGTGGATAAGGGGAAGGGGAAAGAGTTGGGTATGGATGAGGCTCAAAGGACTTGGCTTCCAGGTGAGCACTAATTCTGAGGATGGCAATTAGGGTAGACCACTGATACAGGATCCAAAGATGCACCCACAGACACTACAGCTAGGACCACTGGAGTTGTGATGCAGAAGCCAGGAAATGAGGAGGATCAGAACAGGGAGAAAGCATGGGGCTGTAGCCAGTCAAGACATGGCTGGCCAGTGGCCAAGCCTGTCAATGCCAGTGATCAGACCAGTAGAGGCTGGAGCCAGTCAAGGAGACCAACGAAGAAGGTGAAACCAGCAGTCAACAAGGATGTGCAGGAGTGGTGAGACATCAACAACCCTCCTGAGTCCTGGGAGGTAGTGCTGGAAGCTGAGTGGTGTGTGAGATGCCAGGACAGGAGTTGGCCCTGTATGGTGCTAGCTGGCAGGGCATGCTGGCAATGCCACTGTACCAAATACTCATGCAGCTTGTTCAAGGGGAGGGGAGACAAGTCTGAGATGCAGTGAAAAGCCTCCTGTTCAAGGCCTCGCTGGCAATGATCCCCAGAAGACATGGCCAGCCTTCCCACCACCTGCACCAGCTCCATTGACCAGTCAATGAGCCAAATGTCAAAGGGCACCAAGCTGAAATCAATCCACCGGTCCATCCAAAGTAACAAGCCATCATTCATCTCCTGGCCCATGGACTGGCCACCCCAGTAAGTTATTCACAATCCTATGTTTTTTGCTAATCAGTTGAAATAATATATCTATTGAGTAGTGGAAATTATTACTCTGTCATGGCTATCCCAGTCATAGTCTTGTGCAAGAAGTGTTGCAACAGACCCACCCATCACTCCAGTGCCAACTACTACAACCAGTGCCAATGATCCATGCCATTGTGATGAGTATTGGGAAGAGGTTACCATCCTCGAGTGGGAGAATACTGACATGAGGTGGGAGATAGAAGTAACCTGTACTGAGCTTGCTGCTCTCCATCAGGTGGTAGATGCCATCTGTAATCACCTATTCCTGGCCCCAGATGTGCTTAACCATCCTCTGGTCCCATTTCACACTACTTCCAACCCTACACTGGTACCTCACATGCCAGTCATGGTGGAACTTGGCACTACAACTGGTGTTGTAGAGGTTCAATCATCCTGAAGTGGCTCAAGACAGGAGTCCACTGAACCCCCCCCCCCCAGCTTCATTCAAGGGAGGTGCTGGCTTGGAAGTACCTCCTTTGAATGTCAAACCTGTGCATGGACCTGCTGGAGGTCTGGCAATCTCTATTACTCCACCACCACCAGCAGTCAGATCAGTGCCCAGACAGGAAGGTAGGATGGAGGTCGAACTAACATCAATGTACTTGTCATTTTGCAATCCATTTGTGTTTTTTTGTCTTTGTACTTGTACTTTGTTAGATGCAGCAATATATTCTATGTTGTCAAAATGTGATCTCCAGGAAGAAGTAGCTACTGCTGCTGGTAGTTGTTACTGTATGATTCAGATACTGGAAAACCAATCTGGTATGGTGATGTCTGTACCAAGGCCATGGTGTTACAAGCACTAAGGGCCAATGGAGTCATGGTTCACCTAGATGATTGAATGATGACTGGCTGGCATAACTCAATTGTTTTTGCTGTATAGCATGATGGTGACTTTCATGGTATTGTTCTGGCTTGCTGGAGGCTGTAAGGCATTGAATCCACAGTTTAAATGTACTGGGTAGTTGGCTAGTCTTCTGGTCATTGCCAGAGCCACCATTGTGGTAATACATGCATCTCCAGCATGGTACTGGTGCCAGTATGTACATACACTGTGGACCTGCTCCTGGGAGGTCCAGGCAGGTCAGGCATGGCATGGTATAATTTCTCAGTGGGCCTCCATGGCATTGGCACTGGGATGGCATTCATGGCATTGGTGCCAGGACAGCTTGACTGATGGCCTCATGGCATTTGGGATGTGCCAGAACATATGGCATAGGTGCCAGGATGGCTTCCACAGCATTGGTGTTGTGCCAGAACACATTACAATGGTGCCAGGATGGCTTGCATGATGGACTCATGGCATTGGGGATATGCTGGAATGCATGGAACCAGTGCCAGGGTGGCTTCCATGGCATTGGTGTTGTGCCAGAACACATTACAATGGTGCCAGAATGGCCTGTATGATGGCCTCATGGCATTGGGGATGTGCTGGCACTCATTACACAGGTGCTGGGATGGCCTGCATGATGGACCTGTGGCATTGGGGACATGCCAGAATACATGGAACTGGTGCTGGGCCAGCCTCCATGGCATTGGTCCAGTGCTGGTGCACATTACAATGGTGCCAGAATGGCCTGCATGATAGGCCTCATGGTATTGGGGATGTGCCAGAACACATGGAATAGGTTCCAGGACAGCTTCCATGGCATTGGTGTTGTGCTGGAACACATTCTAATGGTGCTGGGATGGCCTGCATGATGGCCCCATGGCATTGGGGATGTGCTGGAACACATGGACCTGGTGCTGGTGCTGGCTCACAATACATCAGTGCTGGGACAGCTTCCATGATGGCCCCATGGCAGTGGCAGTGTGCTGGAGCACATGGCATTGGTGCCAGCATGGCTTCCATGGCATTAGCATTGTGCTGGTTCACATTAAATCAGTGCCAGCCAGGACAGCTTCCATGGCATTAGTCCTGGGTTGGTGTTGGCCTGGCTCACATTGCATTGGTGCTGGGACACCTTGAATGGCATTGGTATTGGGTCTGCCCACATGGAATCGATGCCAGGACAGCCAGCATGGCATTGGTGTTGTGCCAGCCTGCATGGCATTGGTATTGGGCCTGTTCATATTGCATTGGTGTTGGCCCAGCTCACATGGCATTCATCCCAGGATGGCCTGCATGGCATTGGTGGTGGGCAGTGTTGCTGGGATGGCTAGCATGGCATTGGTGTTGGGCTGGCTTGCATGACAGTGTTGCCAGGGGTGAACCCAGGGGCTGAGCCCATCCATACCTTCTAGGGACACCCAACTCTGGGCTTACCTGGGACTACTCATATTGCAGTGGCTACACCCTAATCCCACAGCTGGCTTGTACCCCATGATGACAATTCTAACCTCTGCCCAGCCATTCTCCATAATGACTCCTACTCTTGGACTCAGCTGTATGCTATGGTGACACTCATTTATTGGGCTCTCCCATAGTCCATGATGACACTTACTCCCCAGCCTGCTTGTAACTGACAATGATAATTCAAACCACAGCTGCACCATTCCTCATGACAACATTTCCTCTCAGGCTCAGCTGTACTACATGGTGACACTCATCAGTTGGGCTCTCCCATACTACAAGGTGACAATAGGTTCATGGCTCTCATGTAACACACATGCACAAGCCATACATGGGCTCAACCTCCACTGGCCTGCCACTAATGGCTGATTGTCAGCCTCCACTGACTGTCTCATAGGGCCTAACCAGGTGCATGGGCTCATAGATGTGGTATGACTCTTAGCTTAGGGCAGCTCCCTGAGCTGCAGCAATGCTAGGCTACATTGATGCTGACTGGGTGGCTAATATGAATGATCACAGATCTGTTATGGGCTATGTACTCCTTATGTCTGGTGGCCCTATTAGCTGGTTGTCAAAAAATGGATGTCCATTGCACTATCCAGCATGGAAGCTGCCAATGAGTGGAACAAGGTTTGATTGGCAGATGGTCATGATGGTGGAGCATAGGAAGTTGTTGGCATACTGAAACCAGCACTTCCAGTTGCAAATGGGTAGAAAATCATTTGGTTCATAGACAGCAATGCTGATGGAACAATGGGCAACATATCCATGTCATTACTGGTTGCTGGTGTGCTAGGTGCACTTCCTCCAACAGGTTCTGGTATCATGAAGTCAATGGAAGGTGACCCCAGGGATGGCATGTTGTTCCCCATGCTCTTGCTGTTGGAAGAACTCAACCTGGCATAGGATGGGCCTCAAGAAGAAGTGTTGATACTCAATGCCAAAAAGCAATTCAAGCCCTTGCACTTGGAAGGTATGAGCACACTCATCCTGTCATAGAATAGCCATCCCTTGTTTTTATAAGGGGCTGCATCCTTGTGGGCCTGCTGACATCACCATTTGCACAGGACATTCAATCTGATTGGATTGAATCATATCTTCATATAACTGTCCCATGAATTCTTATTTGCAACACCAATATCAGCCCCTGACTCTAGGGAACATGCAAATCCAGATGAACACCTGAGATGATCAACAACCACATATGTACTTCATAGCTGTGTGATATCAGCTAGTTATTCTGTCATTTGACTGACTCTTTCACCCTTTTCCATTTCCCTTTACATGCTTTAGGGGTTTTGGGCTCCCCTTTCTCATGGTTTGCAAGCATCAGAGAAGCTGCACAGGTGTTCCAAAATGGTGCCTTGAAATTCAAACCATCATCAGTGGTTGGCTTGTGGGAATCAGTGAGGTCAAGAAGGGCAAATGTATCCTTATCTGACCATGACACTTGCATCAAGTGGCCATCTGCCTTACAAGGGGGCATGGCAACAGATGGAGGGAGAAGCAAGAGCAGATGCTGTACATGTGGCACTTTGACTTGAACTCTGTATGCTTATGTCATGAAGGCCTGGGACTTTTTTTTTGGTTCTTTCACCCAGATTCTTTGTGGGACTTTGTTAGCGCTCAATATTCAATGGTCAATTTGCTAACACTGTTATAAATGACACATTATTACTACATCGCTCTTGCGAGACGTGCTAAGCGTATCAGGCATCACCGCCCCCACCGCCTGAAACTTATCAGGAAATTAGACTACCTTATCAGTCAAACCGTCCTTCAGCCATATTGTTCAATCTGTCTTCTTCGGAATTCAACTTCCTCACGAGCATCCAGAACATGATGCCAGATGTGCCACATATGACAGCGACGGAACCGTAGTTCCAGACGAGCAACGGGTCAGTCGAGAGGGCTACCGCCAGTAGTAAGTATTACACCCGCAAAGCAACGCGGGACAAGGCACTCACAAACGAAGGCTTCGCCGATGGCAGATGCTACAGCATTCGTAAAGAGGAGCATGGACATGACGAGCGACCGCATGTTCCTCGGCGCCTTAGTAAACGCATACTCCAGACCCGTGATCGAAGCAAGGATCTCGCTAATCGCAACCAAGATATACCTGGAGACACCCACGGGTGAATTGTTAGCAACGAGGCGAAAACTCAGTACTAACGATCCGCTCTGAATCCACACGTTCAAAGGGGATACCAATGGGTTCCCGTTGCTGTCGACACATGTACCGGCATAATATCCGCATGGATTTGTCTGATGATTAGGCATCCGTCGGATGTCATCACATAGGAATAGGGGAGATTACCTTGTAAATGCAGTACTGGACGACAGCCGCCCATACCATGGCGGTAGCACCAGTATAGAACCCAAAAGCGATCTTTTGCAAGGGCTTGAAGTTGATCCTCCATCGGACGAGAGCAGGGTAGAACTAACAGGACCGTCATAAACCACAGACAATCAGGAAGGAGGCAGGGCACTCACGACCAAGTCGCAGAGCGGGATAAAGATGATGAGAGCCAAAGGATCCAGGTTAGAAAGAATGTCGTTAGGTAGACCGTGCGTGCTCATGGTAGCAGCTTGCGATGTCAAATTATTGTTCAATTGATTGTAGGACAACCCTACAAGTTCCGCTCCGCATCATCGCCCAGCATGCGTCATAAGCGGCAACTCACAATAAATCGGGAGCCACAAGGAACACGGAGCAAGCTTTAAACCCGCGACGAACTTCTTCCACCCAGTTATCATCAAACCTCATCCATGCCGGTTTCTCACCGATGACCTTGCTTGGCTTGGCACTCTCCCAGAAGTCATCGGCGGTGAGGTTGCGAACGGTCTTGATAGGGTTCCAGCTCCATCGTCCGCGCATAGCATATCGCCAGACACGGACTGCAGTGGCGAGCACTGAACCCGTTGGTTGTGAAGTGCTATACTTGCCGTGTCCATACCACAAAACCAAAGGGGAGAGAAGGAAAACAGCGGTCGGAAGTGTATAGGCTAGCCAGTACCCGACGAACTGGATAGAAAGGCTGAGCGATCAAAAGAAGATAAAAAACACAACACCGTGCAACTCGAACCTTTTCCGCGTATACCATACTTATCTGACCGATGAGCGCGCCGATGTTAATGAAGAGATAAAAGTACTGGTGTAACATGAGCTCTAAATCATAGGGACCAAATGGCATCACATCTGACCATGTAAATTCTAGACGTTGTCAAGCTGGGGTCCACGATAACCCGTTCCCCTTTCTTTGTTACCGAGATAAACATCTTTGTTCGGCGATATTGTTCTGCCACTAGAGGGGAGATATTGGACTTGAACCCGCCCGCACCAATGCCAGTGACTATCAAAGAAAGAGTAAAGAGTCCGACAGAGGCATCGCTTCCGATGATACCAGGTATGGCCGAGATAATCATGATAACATGACCGAGCATGGCGATTGCGACGCACACGCAAACGGTCTTGTAACGACCCCAATAGGTGTCTGCGATGTAGGCACCTGCTATAGGCGTTCCGTACGACCTGTGTGGTCGTGAGATGTCTGGTTGCGAGGCGCTAGTGAGCACCCACTAGGGTTTACACACCAGAACTGATAAAAGGTCGTGAGACCCGTGGACATTTGTTGACCTCTCCCAAGGGCACCAGACTGACCATTCAAACCACCTGCCCCGGTGGTTGAATTGGGTGGAAGTGGTTGTTGAATGAAATTCACCTGCCACGCTCAGTGAGACACTGTTAAACATCCAGCAAGAACGAAGTAAAACTTACGAAGACTGCGCTTGCACCTACCACGTGAAAAGGACGTTGCAGAGCTGATATGGGAAGTCATGCAACACATACCATAATACTATATGCGTCACCCAAAATTCCTCAGTGCCAGGTTCAACCTTAAATGCCAAAAAAATAATACTGACAGAAAATCGTTCAGCCAGTTCTACGACGGCGATCACTGCCCAACTATGTCAGGAAACACTGGTACGTAGACAAGAGTAAAAACCAACTGTAAGCAGTCCACGGTATGGCGTCTGACACTCTGCGAAGAGCGAAGAGCTCTTCCTCGGTTGGAAACTCCAGTCCCTCGTGGATAGGATCGACCTCGGCATCTTCGCCTAATACCGTACCCTTCTCTTTTAAAGTAAAGTCGTAAGCAAATTTTTCATGATGTTCGACCTCTGTCAAAGCAGCAAGAATCTCGCGGTCCGATTCCAAGCCAGCCATTCTAGACGTGAACGCGGACAACCGTCTGTGAGATTAAGGAAAGAGACGGAAGTCAAGGAGATACACGCGGGGATAGATGATATCCATGGTATGCGTTTTATTTTAAAAGTCAAGTCTGATACATGAAAGCGGGAGGGGAACTCGGACACAGTAGGTGCACACCCCGCAGCTCGATTAGGAAGGTCTTATCAAGAACTCCAACATCACCGATCATGTAACCAATAGTACCTCTCTAATGCTTTTCCTAACTTGGCAGGCTTTTCGAACTTTCCCCCCCTTTCCAGAGTACAACAAGTAGTCCTGGCGCATTTTCGATTTATTTATTGCTCACACTCCTAAGTATCACATGTATTACGAGTTTTTAATGCAAAGGTTTGCTTATTCGCTGGCAGCGAAGGTGCGACCCCTACGGCGTTCAGCAAGACTCGAATCCCTGCCAGAGTTAAGCAGAGAGTTGGTATTGTAACTCGTGACTCCCAGATCCGGCCCTTATCATGTAATCTTGGCACTGGGCTACATTTTCCGAGGCCCTCGAGAGTAGGGAACAAGATGTACCCGTCCGCGGAGGCAACGAACTAGGCACGGCTTCCCGGGAATCCCTCATCCCCTCTCTGTCACTTTCACGAATGGCAGGCAGTTGATAAAGTACCTGGCTACTCGACTGTGTCAAAAAAATTGTTACTAAACTTTCATTGAATCGTGTGTCAGAAATCACGATCTTGTTACCAATGTGCCATGCCATAGTAAAAGGTATGCAATGGGCGTCGCACGTACCTATGAGGGGCAGAACTAGACAAAAATAAATAATCTAGTTTTCATTGAACTGTTTCTGCATCACGGATGAAATAAAGAACCTTCCACCATGTGAGGAAACCTCGCCCTGAAGCTCGAAAGGTGTAATGAGTCAAGTACATCAGGAAGCGAAAAAATGGTTTAAACCTATTTGAACCCGTCACTGACTGGTCGTGACCGCGATTCCGTCATTCCCTGTCTCTCTGATGTACTCAGGCAGTCATTACATCAAGGACAAGAGTACTGATTAGACATACGAGGAATTAATACCACCGTTCCAGAGACCTTCATCCGGCAGTTGTGTAGTTTATTCCATTCCGAGAGGGCTTGGTTAGGCAGCGCAGATCTCTACCAGTACGCCTACAGCCTCCCTCGAGTAAACAGAGTCTCTGAGGGGCAAGTACTTGTCCGTGACTCCTTACACTCGTCTCGCCACTCAGAATCACAGCATCGCTTTGGGCCGGTGGTCCTTCGCTCCCCTCCACCTCATTCCCGTCTGCATTGTGTATTTACTGTCACGACGTAGTCCATATCCATACATGGCTGTCACCATTCCACTCGACGGTCTTCTATTGAGTCCCCGAGTTTACATAAGGCACGGAATCTTAGCCAGTAGGTGATGATAAGCACTTCTTTCCACAGTTAGGCAGTCAGCAAGGAGCTTCTATGCTATTGCAACTTTTGTAACATACAGAAATCCATTAGTAAAAATATTGTTGCTATTAGCGGTATTTCAACCACCAAAGATCGTTATCTCTTACATGAAGTTTTTTTTCTTTCTTTTCTAGTCAGAACCAGTGCTAGGTTACGCCTCATGTGACATATTTGATAGTTCTGTGATAAAAGTCTCGTTTTCACCCAAAATAGGTCGGTTCATAACCCCACCCAAAAGTGTGATATGCTGCTCTCCCGTTATTCCTTCGCCATATTCCTCGCCAACCAGCTTCACGTCGGCGGACAAGTGGCACTCAATCCAATTTACGGTTGGTCTCCCGGAATACGAATTCTCGGTGTTTAATCCCATTTGGATGTGCACTTTGGGCAAGAGCGCCGATTCTGTTGCTTCTGCTAGGACGCTTTTCTTCATCGGGCGGACCAATCTCACCTGGAATACCAACCAATGGCGAGAAACACGCAGCGTACGCGACAGGGGCATTATCTTCGTCACACGGCCAAGAGATGACGACCCAGTTCGTTTGATATGGCAGAGCCTGTGAAAACCAATGGCGTCGTCCAGGACTGCTGGGTACCACAACCCTTCCACATGTCCTACGGTAAGGTCTCGAGAGAGGTTATCTGTTGTACTCTGACTACTCCAAATCGCCTCATACTTATCACCCACCACGTCCATACAAAGTCTGATTACATGGCATTGAGGCCGCCGCACCTTTCCATGCCACCATCATTCAATCATGCAGAACTATCCATCATCAGTTCATTCTTAGCATCATTTCATGTCAGCGTCCCCCTCCTTCCGTGCGGTCTTTTTTGTGTTTACAGCTCCGTTTCTATGCCTTTGCCCCTGTCATGTTGCATGTGTACCTGGTACGCCCATTCTGTAGTACGTCATGCTGCCCCTCAAGCTCCCAACTGAGCGAGCGGGACCAATCAATCAATGACGGAGCACGATGTGATGCACGTAACCTCAAGCTCTTAAGGTACATGGCGTGTGGTCCCAGGTGCGTCTCAGTTACGATCAAATTTACGAAGATCTCACCTTCCACATCCCAGCCAGCGCACGTATCAACAAAATGGTATGTTCCGCAACAGTCCACCGTACGTAAACCCAGACACATGAAAATGATGGCGAGATGACTTCAAGCCTACAACAAGATAACAAGAAACCTGACCCCCTCTGCGCTTATAGCCTCAAGATGAAATACCCAAACGACGCGACACATGCACTGTGCACTGAAATGTGTGCGTAGCTATACAGTATCTACGTCAACCCCTGACCAAATAATTGAATACAGTCAGAGAGTGGACGGATATTATGGCGTGTGATTGATATCGATTATATCCCAGATGACAGTGTGGATCCACTTGAACGGCATGTGTTGTGATCACTTGATTAAGGAGCACAATCCAGAGTGATGAACGATGCAGAGGAGGACACGTCCAAATATCAACAAGTGATGGTGGGAGTATGCTGAGGATGAACCAGAGGGGGCACATCGGTGTGCTGTATAATATGACCAGAGCGCATGGACTCGGACTTCGCACGCCGGAGTTTGGACTACTACTAGATTTGTTCTTCCACACCATTGTCTTGTAGCATCTGCCCCAAGACGTACTGTCTCGGCAACGCACTGCGAAAAATACACCTTCCATGTATTCCACCTGAGAGATAAATACGGAGGCGGGCGCGTTGCCAACGCTTCGCCACGACCTTTCTTGCGAACGCGTCCGTAGACACACTATCCTTACTCGGAGACAGGTACATCCTCTCTACCGACTGCTCTTCGTACTCGATGTAATGCGATGTTTGGACTTAAGAACTTGGCCTTTGGAGATGTTGGGTTCGACACCGCCCGGTACGACGAGCATCACTAAGTTGATGCCGAATGGCTCCGGCAATGCTACGTAGCGCAGCTTTTGCGACACAATACAGAGTGTTCAATGGCGTCGTACTAGTGTTGTTGACCATTGTCCCCAGTCTCCGGTGTCGGGCGCATCCTGAAAGGGGACTTAGACTCGATGTTGATGACAAGACCTTCACGTCGTTTGATCACAGAACGTACGATCGCACTGGTGACGCGGAGAGCAGCAAAGGTGTTGAATTCGAATGCGCCCCAGGCCTGCTCGAGTGACCGCCTCCCGGCAACCGGCCCCGGTACATTATGCATTGTATCAACCACTCGCCCTTCGAGCGTACGTGCAACAACCTGACAAAAGAGTGAAAAGACAGCTATACCTCAACGTACCTAGTATATCTAATGCACCCGCATCATTCACGACAACATCTATCTTCCCCTGTAGCTCTAATAATTCGGCGCCAATATCCCCGTTTGTGGCTTGCAGCCCCGTCACCAGTAGGGCAACACATGATGGATTGTGGTGTCTCCCGCCGTTCGCTCCTTTTCATTTCAACCACTGCTCGATGTGCGAACGTAGTACGACCTTATCGTATTGGCAACTGGATCCCCCCAAACGTTCGCACTTCTGATGGTAAGACGAACGCTCGAGATATGTATTTACCTTACAAGTTTTCCCCCTACTGTTACCCTCGGTACCAAGTACTCTGACCTCAGGGACCGGACGGTAAAAAGCCATAATCTCACGTTTCGACGACGTCATCCAATGTCACCAGATCAGCACCAAAGGTCCATCGCGTTCCCAAATTCTTCTCGGGACACCATGCTAGGCCTTAGACAATGGGGCTGTTAACGCACGAGGATTCACCCAGCTTCATGACCAAGCTATGCGTCAGGTTCTTCTACTCGCGAATTCTCAGGAATTTGTCTAGAGGTTTCTGGAGCTCGTTTAGTTTTCCGTCGCCATGAGCGATACCTGTGCTTTCTCCGCAGAGAAATACGATATCGCGTCGATCTTGACAATACCCGCGAGGGAGCTAGAACCATTTGGACTGTCTGGGTTACCACTACTAATGTCGTCCTCTTCTACGGTAGAACCATCCAGATGCACCACGTCGCATCTGGCTAAACCATGGACATGGGTTCCCTATCTTCGTCAACGGAGGTCGAAAGCGTTACGCCAGCACTGGAGAGTGTTTCCACTGGGAAATGGAAATGCTGATATAGTTAGCTTTAAACGCTAACATGTACAGTCTGAAAAGCAACTCGCACCTTAAAGAGATCAGAAACGAGGAACATTGTGATCTGATCGGCACAAGAAGTGGCAGCGTTGTCCAGGTCAGCGTATGGAAAGGTCGGGAATTGATGCTGACTTTTCCACTGATACACCCTGCAATGGTAGCCCCTTCTGCTCCGGTCACGTACGCATTGCAAGCGTCGACGCGTCATACATCCTTGTTCTCGCACACCGCCATCTTATCCGCGTGTCCTTAAGACATACCGTATGCAATTCACGGTTTCCATGCATTCTACTCTATCAACAAATATGGCGTTCATTTTGTTGCCAACGCCTTCCCCTCGACCCTAAGTGCTGCTGGTGCTACGCTAAAGTGCAAATAAGAATGTTCCTCTACCTTTCCCATAGAATACCCAAAACCCGTATGGAAATGTCTACCTCTCTCTCTCTCTCTCTCTCCTCCGCTTGAACCGTGACAAACTCCAAAAGGAAATTACTCATACCCGCATTTGGTGTCCTCGCGCTCCTCATTGGATGTCGCCAATGGCAGCGCACGGTTGTCGCCTGCAACTGGTAGGTCCACGTGATGATGTCGACAGTATTACCGGAACTGCAGCGGTCGTCCAATGGGAGTACGCGGTGCTATGTTTGATGTGTATGCGGGTGCCGTGCTTCAAGCTTCATCAGTCTTGAACTCCTGTTCCATGTAAGTACCCACCTCAGACCGCTTATAAAAGTCCAGATATGCAAAACTGCAGGTGCCTTTGCACCACCCTCTTGCGCGATATCGGTATCAAGGAGGATCCGCTGCTCGCATCCTCCCGTATGAGGCCTGTTTAGTATGACTTTGGACTCGTCCTTGGTCGTAACTGCGGCCATCACAAAGAAGGTAAGAAGTTCCTTCATTGACTGACGGGAGACATGGTTCGCTTCATGAGGCTCCCCCTGGGTGCTGAATATGGATTAGTCAACCACACCAAGAGACAAGGTGGGAGAGGCGGGTTGCCAGCCAATTGATAAGTCCATGTATGCGTCCATGCGTCGACCAAGATACTTGTCCCATCTCGAGTAATGACATGGGATCACCACAAAACGTTGTCTGGTTACAGGCCCACACAATGAACGATGTGGATACCTGTGCTTATCGGTAGCCGGATGATAGAGGAGTGCTGACTGCTACCGACGATACCAAATGACACGGAACGCATTGATCCATTAATGGCTGTCGTCTGGTCCAGATAGGATCCTGCAATTGCTTGTGTTGACCCACACTTTGGATTGGTAGGCAGTACGGCGTCCTACCGTCAACAAGTCCCCAGCGCACCACCTTGTGCAAATTTGGACTGGAAGACGATACTCCTCGATTGCCCTGGTCGTGTGCCTTCGTTACTGATTCATTGCCTTTCTTTCGAGAACCCGATGCCCCAAGGTGGGTACGCGCATACCCGTTTCAAGTAAGGTAGCTTACGCCGTATGCAACAACGACCCAGTGGCCAGTCCCGTATCGGGTCACATCGGTGGATAAGGACCCCTTGCTTATGCACCCTGGGACATCTCGAAGGGAAATGAAAACTACAACCGGGGTAAAGATGGCTGGAAAACCACACACCTACTTTTGAAGACATCATCAACGCATCCAAGGCGCTTTCACTTCCTGAAGTAAAGCTTGATCGTGCCCCGTCGACCACGCTGGTAACCCTGCAGAGTAATTTAAAATAAGCGTGGACGTGGCTTGGCGTATCAAAGCCAGCCAGGAAGTTCTCTCGAAATCAACGATGTGAGTAAACACGTACATGTGACAGGACTAGGACAGAAGCGCGTACCCATCAAGGACAAGTGTCTGAGTGTTTCCGGAAGGGCCAGTGCAGGGGTGTTGGTGAAAGTATGTATTCTCCATCATTACAGTAACAGAAATCGGTTTGCGAGGCAGTAGTACCATATACCACGGGGGAAAAGAGCACTCCAAGACCGAGTGCCACCATATGAGTGCCAAACTTGTCACACGGCTACTCAGCGCTGCTCTTCTTTGTTGCTCTCTGGTCGGAGGCGCCGAAATGAGCCAAGGAAGTGTATGAACTCGTTGTCAAGCTGTCCCTGATCGTAGTTTGGTTAGAGACTAATAGTGACTGCCACTTATCAGGCGCTTCGAGTGAACGACCGACGAGATTCCAACTTGCTCGAACGTACGCCCTACTACATTGTGTAATTAATTTGCTGTCAACGCCTCCGTAGCCATTGAATGATCTCATCGATCATATCGGTACGTGTGGATGTAAGTCCGTTCCCGTGCTCACTGCTGACGTGCCGACTTGTTCCAATGACAGGAGGAGCAACTTGTATCATAAAACTTCATCTCTTACGTGGCGAAAGGTATGCACTTTTTTTTCGCGGAACTTTTTCGTTCCAGTGATCCGCTATCTCGGGAACAGCATCTGCGATTAGGTAGTCCTTAAGAGATACTCGTGCTTGATGCTTGCCTATCCCTTCGAGGGGAAATTGTGGACGTTGCTCCACACGTGCAGGTAGCGCCACTTGTGGGCCCATGCCTATCGATTGCCCTGTATAGCTGCCCAACTTCCGCGCCCAATTCGATGATTCAAGCGGTCAGTCTTTCCCTGTTGGCACATCCGAATATCGCAGAATAACATCCATTCCCAGTCACGATGGGGTATGGGTATCCCAACGATACTCCTCGGGTGGTCGGGCACCCTGCCTCTAACCTCAAATACTCACCTGTAGGGCTGGAGAGGACTGTGGTACTGTACAAATACATTTCCCGATTTCGTTCTCATTTCGCGCTCAGTGTGTCTGGAAAGGATGACCTGGCATCAGACCCGGTTAAATGACTTTTCCTCATCCTGTCTCATATTTTCATTTTCAGCGCATCGCAGCTATGCTTACCCGGTAGGTTCAGTTTCTGCTCTTTATATCACAGTCTCATGAGCTTCCCGTCAAAAGTTCCCAGTGCCTTTGCTGATGTATAAAGCTCAGAACCGCACCGCTCAGCCCAGGGTAGGTGAAAATCTCGTGTCCGCCACTACTCCCTCGTCAAAATGATATTCTCTTGGCTGTCCGGCCATAACTCTCTTTTACTTATAGTGTCGCTCTTCTTGGTCTGGTGTTCTCCGTCTTCAGCAGCGTTCAGCATGCTACGCAACACCAATGTATGTCGTGAATCCAACCTGCCGCCTTTGTCCTGACATGCAGTCCTCCAGCTTGCCGTGTACGTTTTTCCGAACGATGCAAGCATCCGGCGGACCAATCCTCATACCTGACTCCCTTCTACGGTTTGTGATGTATATAGATACTGGGGCCAAGATTCGTACGGCGCGAATAATCCTTCGGATACCACCAACTGGCAACAACCGATATCGTATTACTGTAACGTGCGTATTTCTTGAATGTCAATCCATATGCGTCTTGGGCGTAACCATAACTGTTTCGCAGGACGACGCCATTGATACGTTTCCCGTTGCCTTCTTGGACCAGTTCTTCACTACAGGAGGTCTTCCCTCCATCAATCTAGCCAACGTATGTCTTTCTTCTCTTAGGGTAATCTGCAATCGCCTAATCCCAACCTCGTGCTTTCTTGCTCTTCTTTTATATCTCTTCATCCGCTCCCTGTAGTCATGCACCAATCCTCCCTTCTCTGGTACATCGATGCCCAATTGCACCTTTTTAGGCCCCGACATCGAGGCCTGCCAGGCAGCCGGAAAGATCGTCACGATCTCGTTGGGCGGAGCAACCGGTTCAGCTGGGTTTTCAAACGACTCGCAAGCACAGGCTTTTGCGCAGACGATTTGGGATCTCTTTCTCGAGGGCAGTAGCCCCGACCGTCCGTTTGGTTCTGCCGTGTTGGATGGGTGAGGTTTCCTCTTCTCAAAGTCTGAAGGGTCGTCCATAATAGCTCTTATTTGCATTCGCAACTTTCCAGAGTCGATCTCGATATTGAAGGTGGTAGTCAGACCGGCTATGAGGCTTTCGTAACCGCACTCCGCGCACTGATGGCCAAGGGAAACAAGCAGTACGTCCTCGTCCTATTCAGGCGCTTTTTTGGACTGCCATCTCACGAAGCGCTCGGATTTTTGGTCAGATACTATATCACTGCAGGTTGGTACCACGCCTCATTCCGCTGACTTGCATAAGAAATCCGGGCAACGCTGATGTGTCAAATAGCTCCACAGTGTCCCTACCCAGACGCCTATATTGGCACAACACTGAATGCTGTCGGATTCGATGCCGTCTACGTCCAATTCTGTGCGGGTGTTTCTTGCGTTGTGCTCGTGTGTGCATTTTTGACGAGCGTGGCGTTACTAGATAATAACTACTGCGGTCTCAACAACTATAACAATGTGAATGTGAGTGTGCTTAGCGAAATAGGTAGCCAGCGTCTCATGCATACATGACGCGGCTGCATGGTATTCCCATTCCTTAGGCATGGGATTTTGGTACATGGTGCTTCCAACACTCCTGACTGATCGACTGGCTGCTAACGGACGAATGATGTGGTATAGGGACAACTGGGCAAAAACAGTCTCTCCAAATCCCAACATCAAAGTCTACATCGGTGCACCTGCATCCCCGTCTGCAGCTGGGTCCGGATACATTAATGCATCGACGTTTGCGACAATCATTCAGCAGACGCAGAGCCAATACTCGTCGTTTGGAGGTGTGATGCTGTGGGATGCATCGCAAGCCTATGGTGCGTGTTTCTTCTTGAAGGTGATGGTAGTGAGTGGTTTGGGTTGACGTGGATCTTTGTTTGGGTTAGCAAATTCGAGGTATGATCGAGCTGTGAAGAGTGCGTTGACGGCTGGTGGGACTGTGGTTGCAACGTCAGCTGGTACTTCTACTGCGGCGACAACTACTACTAGTACGGCGACTACCGTGGCCACTACAGCGGCGAGTGCCACGGCAACCGCGACTGGTACAAGTTGCTCTGGTGTATCCGCATGGTCGAGTGCGATAGCAGTAAGTGTTCGCTCACCGATCTTTTCACTGTATCACGTTGACCCTATTCCTCTCATCTCAATTCAGTACGTTGGCGGAGACCAAGTGACTTACAAGTGAGTAGTGATTTCCGCCGATGAGTCAGTTATATGGACAGATCATACCTAATTGATCACCTAGCGGTCAACTTTGGACAGCAAAATGGTGGACGTACGATGATGTACCCGGAGGCGAGTCCAAAGGCCACATTTCATGGACACGTTACTAACCGTGGTGCACTACTGCGCTGTATGCTTTGTCTTGTCATTTCATAGACTCAGCGGGTGTATGGACCGAAACCGCGTCTTGTTAGGATCAACGACTACCACGGTCTGCATAGCCGAAGGCCACGGATTGGATCGTTGTAACGCAGATGGTCGCCTTCACGATTGCATTGTACTTCATACGCAAGGAGGGGGACGTGCTAGGATACCTGTACGAAGTGGTTCTTTGCGAGTTTCGGGAACTTGAACATCGAGGTGGTGACTTAAAATGCGGGAGTAACTTCCACCCCACTGCCTCTCACCGTCTCTTGGTCCATTGTCTTTCAGTTCCTCTATTACCATCTGTTACCTTCTGCACTGCGCCCGTGATTATGCACGGTTTGCTGACATATTTTGGAACTAATGCCCATGCCTGTGCTTGCAGCAGAATTTTGTGGAGGAAAGTGTTCCCCATCGTCAGGACCTGACATTTTGGTCACGCGAGGACAGATTGTGCCGTTGATCAATGTTCAATTCGCTAACACTATCATAAATAATACACTACTACACGAGACGGACAAAACGAAACTAGGCATCACTATTCTCATCGCCTCAAACCTCAGAAAACTAAGCACCCAGAACCAAATTATCAGTCAAACCGTCCTTCAGCCATATTGTTCAATCTGTCTTCTTCGGAATTCAACTTCCTCACGAGGATCCGGAAAATGACGCCAGAAATACCACATATAACAGCGACGGAACCGTAGTTCCAGACGAGCAACGGGTCAGTCGAGAGGGCTACCGCCAGTGGTAAGTATTACACCCACGTGGCCACGTGCGACAAGGCACTCACAAACGAAGGCTTCGCCGATGGCAGATGCGACAGCATTCGTAAAGAGGAACATAGACATGACAAGCGACCGCAAGTTCCTCGGCGCCTTAGTGAACGCATACTCCAGACCCGTGATCGAAGCAAGGATCTCGCTAATCGCAATCATGACATATCTAAAGACACCCACGGGTGAATTGTTGGAAACGAAGCGAAAACTCAAGTACTAACGATCCGCTCTGAATCCACACGTTCAAAGGGGATACCAATGGGTTCCCGTTGCTGTCGACACATGTACCGGCAAAATATCCGCATGGATTTGTCTGATGATTAGGCATCCGTCGGATGTCATCACATAGGAATAGGGGAGATTACCTTGTAAATGTAGTACTGGACGACAGCCGCCCATACAATGGCGGCAGCACCAGTATAGAACCCAAAAGCAATCTTTTGCAAGGGCTTGAAGTTGATCCTCCATCGGACGAGAGCAGGGTAGAACTAACAGGACCGTCATAAACCACAGACAATCAGGAAGGAGGCAGGGCACTCACGACCAAGTCGCAGAGCGGGATAAAGATGATGAGAGCCAAAGGATCCAGGTTAGAAAGAATATCGTTAGGTAGACCGTGCGTGCTCATGGTAGCAGCTTGCGATGTCAAATTATTGTTCAATTGATTGTAGGACAACCCTACAAGTTCCGCTCCACATCAGCGCCCAGCACGCATTACAAGTGGCCACCCACAATAAACTGGGAACCACAGGAACACGGAGCAAGCTTTAAACCCGCGACGAACTTCTTCCACCCAGTTATCATCAAACCTCATCCATGCCGGCTTCTCACCGACCATATTGCTTGGCTTGGCACTCTCCCAGAAGTCATCGGCGGTGAGGTTGCGAACGGTCTTGATAGGGTTCCAGCTCCATCGTCCGCGCATAGCATATCACCAGACACGGACTGCAGTGGCGAGCACTGAACCCGTCGGTGGTGAGGTACGATACTTGCCGCGTCCATACCACAAGACCAAAGGGGAGAGAAGGAAAACAGCGGTCGGAAGTGTATAGGCCAGCCAGTAACCGACGAACTGGACAGAAAGATTGAACAATCAAAGATAAAAACACCATGCAACTCTAACCTTTTCCGCGTATACCATACTTATCTGACCGACAAGCGCGCCGATGTTAATGAAGAGATAAAAGTACTGGTGTAACATGAGCTCTAAATCATACGCATAAGGACCAAATGGCATTACATCTGACCATGTAAATTCTAGACGTTGTCAAGCTGGGGTCCACGATAACCCGTTCCCCCTTCTTTGTTACCGAGATAAACATCTTTGTTCGGTGATATTGTTCTGCCACTAGAGGGGAGATATTAGACTTGAACCCGCCCGCACCCATGCCAGTGACTATCAAAGAAAGAGTAAAGAGTCCGACAGAGGCATCGCTTCCGATGATACCAGGTATGGCCGAGATAATCATGATAACATGACCGAGCATGGCGATTGCGACGCACATGCAAACGGTCTTGTAACGACCTCAATAGGTGTCTGCGACGTAGGCACCTGCTATAGGCGTTCCGGACGACCTGTGTGGTCGTGAAATGTCTGGTTGCAAGGTGCCAGTGAACACCCACTGAGGTTTACACACCAGAATTGATAAAAGGTCGTGAGACCCGTGGACATTTGTTGACCTCTCCCAAGGGCACCAGACTGACCATTCAAACCACCTGCCCCGGTGGTTGAATTGGGTGGAAGTGGTTGTTGGATGAAATTCACCTGCCACGCTCAGTGGGCACTGTTAAACATTCAGCAAGAACGAAGTAAAACTTACGAAGACCGCACTTGCACCTATCACGTGAAACGGATGTTGAAGAGCTGATATGGGAAGTCAAACAACACACACCATAATACTATGGATGACGCAAAATTCCTCAGTGGGTTCGACTTCAAATGTCAAAAATAATACTGACGGAAAATCGTTCAGCCAGTTCTACGACGGCGATCACTGCTCAACTACATCAGGAACGCTGGTACGTAGACGAGAGTAAAAACTGACTGTAAGCAGTCCACGGTATGGCATCTGACACTCTGCGAAGAGCGATAAGCTCTTCCTCGGTTGGAAACTCCAATCCCTCGTGAATGGGATCGACCCTATCGGCAGCTTCGTCTGACATCGTACCTTTCTTTCGTAAAGTATAGTCGTAAGCATATTTCTCGTGATATTCAACCTCTGCCAAAGCAGCAGGAATCTCGCGGTCCGGTTCCAGGCCGGCCATTCTAGACGTGAACATGGACAGTCGTCTGTGAGACTAGGGAGAAAGATGGAAGTCAAGGAGATACACACGGGAATAGATGCGTGTCTCATTTTAAAGGGGATGCGCAGATAAATACATGGAAGGGGGAGGCGAACGTTGCAATGCATGGCACGAACACCCTACACCTCGATTAGGCAGGTCTAATCACGAACTTAGAGGCCTGATTATTCTCCACCGACGCAAGACCCGAAGCTGAACTTGCTGTAAGTCGAGACTTGCGGCGAAGAAGTTTGCGAAGCGTGCCAATGAACCTTATTTTCTTAACGACTGTGACCTCCTCACTCCAGTTCTTATTACACAATCTTGGCACTGTGTTACATGCCGCTGATCCAGAGCCAGAAACAAGCTTGTACATTGTACCGTCACCGTCACTGTCGGAGCACCGCGGCCGCCTGGGAACCCCCCATCCCCTCTCTCCCCTGAATCACCAGTTTTAGTAGAGGAATACATGCAGACTTCTGGGGGGGGGGTTGTTCTCGGGTAGCACCACGGGTCGGCAAACGAACACCGTACCTGTACGGCGAGAAATACGGACATGTGCATTATTCTCATTGAGTCACAGCGCGACCGAAGAGATGATGATCCAGCTTGTTTGATATGACAACCTGTCAGAACCACTGCTGGCGGTTACTCCTCAATGAAAGTTTCTTCACACTACTTACCACACTACCCTTCTACTTGTCCTACAGCACGGTCTCGAGAGGCCATGTATTGCCATCCATTTGCAATCTGTTAGAAGATGCAGAAGTCAGAATCAGCGGCGTTCTTCGGGAGTCAGCGAGGACTGTTGTACATTACTTCTTAAGTCCCTATCCAGGCAGTCCGTTCTACCAGACCGGACACGGATCGCGGCTGATGGGAGCCAACCGCTTCGAATCGCCTCCCCAACGCCCACCACGTCCATACAAAGCCTTATCACTGGTGGCATTGAGGTCACACCACTATTCAGCCGATTGACCACAAGGGTGGGCTTATTACACGGTCCGTGTGGCGGTAAAAGAGGTGGATGGTGGGATATGAAGCTGTCGCATCCGCCCACAACAGAGAAGAAATGTATGTATATTAGAACAGATGGGTGCCTATAAAAAGGAAAAGAAAAGCTGGTCTTCTTTGCGTTCATATATTCTTAAGACGGAATGTACCAAGATATTCAAACGGCACGACAGTACATGCACAACACACTGAAATGTGTGCGTAGCCCTAACCACAGATCAAATAATTGAATACTGTATCTAGAGTGGATCGGATATTATGGCGTGCGGCCATACTATGCAATGAACACAAACGCGAGACAAGACGATGAATGTATCAACTCCGAAAAACCTCAACAATATTGGGAGAAAAAGAAGGTAGGGAAGACGCGTCGGTCCTGAGCGTTCGTTGCCTAAAAATGTACAGTCCCTTGGTCGTAGCTAGTAGGATGATCATAAGTAGCGTAGAGTGGTTCAACCTGATAACGATAACGCGGTAAGTCTTGCCCTTTTGTTCATGCAGATTCTTGGGTGTCGGCCAGATTCAAAACTCCATCTTCAAGTCGATCGAAAAATGCCTAGGAAGCTACAGTATTGACCGCATCGTTCCGTCAAAGTCAACCCCGTCGCCCGCGCCCGAACGAGACAACGCGGGCATAGACAACCGGAAGAGCACCAAATTAGCACCCCCCAGCGTACTAATGACCAGCTGAGTCACGGATTACCGAAGCGATCAACGACCACGTACCAAACCATTCTTCGGTTGCGGATAATTCCATTGCGTCAGATTTGGGTCTGCGAAAACACGCGTCAGCATGCCCACACCAGTACACACGCCGGCCCGCACGGCGCAAGAAAGACGGCCAACAAAAGATAGGAAGAATGTAGATGTGCGTGAGAAATGCGAGAGGGAACGCACTCATATACGAATCCAGATGCCGTTTAATATAATCCTCCGTCGGGAAATCTGGCGGACTGCATCCGATATTCGTCTCTCCGCGTCGTTGATACACTCGGACGTAGTCAACTCGCATCTCGGCGGGAAAAGATAGCGTACTCGCATCGATGGTTTGCCAGTTGGCTGTAAGATCAAGAACCGGAATGGGAGCCTGACCCCTAACCGAACGAAACACCACACTCACGTGACATTCCAAGATTCAACACAATGCTCTAATGAAAAAGAGTTGAAACCTCAAAAACCCACGTAGACGAACGACTCACCATCGGCTCCAATGAAATCAACCTCTGCCCGACCTGTGTCCCGTTCAGAACCAAATCCGGACCCAACGCTGCGGCACCGAGTCTGGCAGTTGGCTGCCCACCTGTTTGCCAGATGATGTATCCATCGGAGGAGTTTGTAGGGTTGGACCAGTATTCGAAACCTGGTATTCGTTCTCATGTCAGGTTGAAAGGGAAGGGGAGAGTGGGTGGACGAAAAGATGGGACCGGAGACACACCGAACGTAGTGAACTGATTCCCAGATCCAACATAAACATCCGAAGGAAGCTCCGTCAACGCAGATACCGCTTGCTGCCTACATATCCACGATCGAAAGGCAGGATCTGATTAATCCACTGTACTACTTGCCCAGAAAAGAAAGGCAAAAACAAGAGAGAACCGACAAACTCACACGGCCGACCCACTACACCAAACGCCATGATTGTTAGCACCCCACGAATGAAATTAGTAATTGTGACATACTGGTAAGCATTCGGCACGGTTTGACTCCCGAACACCTCCCACATCTCGTTTGTCTCGTTTCCATACAAATAATCATGCGTGAACGGTGCAAACTGCGCACTCTGAGATACCATCTGTCCCGCTCCGCCTAACTTGTTGTGTTCAACCTCGAGGATATCAATTTCAGGTGCCCCACGCCCCACTGTAGGAGAGGGACCGGGGTGATCTTCATTAGGACACGTGCATGAGCTGTTGAGTGGTGTAGGATACGGGGTCGAGAAGACAGATGAACAGAGAAGCGAAGGAGGGAGAAGCAGACTCACGAGAGCCGCTGACCAGGTAACCACGATAACGCGTAATTATATTTTGATTGGGATGCCTCCGACATGAGGGCAGCCGCAGGCCCAGATCCATTGACGTACGTCTGGTTCGGGAATGTGCCCACGTCGCAAGAATCGTATCTGCGGAACGCCCGGGGTCCCGGTAAAAGTCAACCAAATCATATAAGAAAGATGCCCCAATATAAATGGGGAGAGAGAAAGAGAACGTACGAGTAAGGCCATACACCGTCCGTGGTCGCGCCAAATCCAGGTCGTGCGAGATTTCCCATCGTCCACGCGCCGGGCCACTACGCCCCGCCCACACGCCCAGATTAGAATGAAGCACTTGACGAGGATAAGGAGCGAGACACGCACATATCCCTTTGACTCCTCGTTTGGTCCCGGCAAAATCACCGACACCTCAATATACCCCCTCGTGAAACAGAACTTGTTCCAACTCTGCAACATCCCACTTCTGTATGGCATCCCTTTATCCTCCACTTGGTCCAACATGATACTCAAATACCCTCCTTCTTTGGTCGAGACCTGACCAGGGTCATACCACTCCTGATCATCGGTGGACCAGTACCAGACGTTGGCGGCTTCCCAGTAGGGATCGTCACCCGGCCAAAAAGTTCGTCCAGGTTGATTGAATTCGTCGGAGAAAACAAGGTCGTAGGTATAATTGTCGAAACCGGTACGGGTGCGTGCATTGATGGGCGTCGAAGGATCGATCACGTGAGCCATGGTGTACCTAAGAACGAGGCACGTAAATGCACGTAGTGAATATGATGTGTCCACGTATATCCTTGCCAAGAAAAAAAAAAGTCAGGACGTACAGGCTTCCTGGTACTGGCACCTGCCCTGTGGAATTGACAAGCACGTTCCCAACAATGGCAGCATTGATGGATTTATCTTCAAAATATCTAAACACGGGATAAAAAACGAATAGACAGAGGAGGCCAAAAATAAGGACAGTGAGCGATCCGACATTGAGAAGACCACGCAAATTAATTAGAGATGTCTTTGTGGGGTGGAGACCTTCGGGGTCATGAAGGAAGTCATCTATGTCGGGTTCGTTGGGGTTGTGGTCTAGATCAGGATCGTAAACGTATGGGACGAGAGCGCCGTGTCTAGATGGGCCGTAAGGATACTTTGAATCTGCCGAGAGCGAGACTATAGAGTCTCCTGAAGTGGATAGAATGGAATTGCGAACAGCAGGGATGGGTCCGGGCGAGTGGAGAGCCGTAGACGCAGAAGGGGCCTCTCTTCGACCGTCTGGGATGGAGAGCCGGTAGAGAATCATGGAGCCGCGCTGGCCACGAGGAGAAACGAACTGGGAGCCCAGGACTTGGGAATCCTCGGAAGCGACTCTTGGAAAGAAATGCCCTGGGTGGAGTGAGGGCGAGACCGCAGTTGGGATGACACCGTTGCATTTGGGTTGAGAGGAGAGGACACGAATGCGCTTGCGGGGGAACGAGAGGGTCCTGGCCTTGGCGAGTAAGATTCAGGTGGATGCGAGGAATCGGTGATGGCGGAGGGGCTGACTGTGCGCTGGGCAAGGAAGGATTGGAGGGGGTCGTCAAGACGGTCGGAGGGCGCCGGAGACGAGAGGGCGTCGACGCTTGGCGAGTCTGTCCCGGACACGCTGGCGGGCAGCGGGGAGGGGTCGTTCCCGGAAGACACCAGCCGAGACGAGGTTGACGATTCGGACGTCTCTGAGCTCTCCGCCATCCCGGCTTCCTTTGGTAGCGATGTGGGGAAGGAAGGAATGGGTGAAGCGACCGGCGAGGACGCTCACAGGAGAGTGGTACTAGAACTGTAACTTGATTTGAATGACAGGACTGCCGAGAAATCGAACAGATGGCTGCCTTGAAGGTCCCTGGTGCCATCTTATGTAATCACTCTCTCGACGCCGACCGAGTCGATGTCGAGGACGATGGCATAGAACGTCTCGACGAGGCTCCTCATTTTATATTTATATGTGGCTTGTTTCAGATGGATTGGCAACATTGTTGCCTCAACAACCGTTTCCCCCTTGTTTTATCAGCTGTATATACTATATAGTACTACCATGCTGCGTCATTGTGGCCTAGACCCATTTATATATACTCCCCATGTAAGGAGGAGGATCGACCACTTTCTAGAATTGCTACAGTAAGGGAACTTCATCGGTGTTAGCGGTTCAATATCAATATAAATGTCTGTGACATGTCATCAGCATAGCCGTCGGCCCTCCGTCCTTTGCTGCGTCCATGTGCAGTGCTTTCTTTGCGATGTTCCAGGGTACCAGTGATCATGGTATCAGCTGGTGTCAGTTACGCTGTGCCGGTTAAGAGCCGTGTAGCAAGGCGGTGATAGCATAGCGGTCCTATTCGGGGGTGCTGCATGGTCTGTCACTACATATGTAGTGGCGGCCTAGTTCCCGGACCTTCGTGCAACCTCATTAATATATCCTATACACGTGCTCTGAGATAGCCCTTCCATTTCTCGAACAAGTCAAGTCGTGCAGCGGTAGTGATTCTAGTGTGCCAGCTTTTTGTTTCATTGTGAGGTATCCACATGACGTCAGCACAGGTGGTGTCTGTGTGGACCCCGTGGACCACGGATAAGGAGCTAGCCGAGACCTGTGGACCTGTGCCGGGACTTGCCATCAGCGTCCGTCATCAGTCTGAGTTCCTCTGCTCCTCCAACCCTCCAGCAGATCAAGTCAAATGACCTCGTCAGAAGCATCTCAGCAGAGTACGTACATATATAAACACCCCCCACAGCTCAGTCTGACCCTCTGACGCTCTTTCCCCCCTCGTAAATAAGACATGGTCTCGTCGCAGGGTCACCACACTCCCCCCACGGATCTTCGCAGAATGACATCCAACTCGACGCTGCTGACCCCCTCTCACAGGGAGCACAGGCTCTCCAACCACACATCTCAGCATCTCCAGACTGGTTCGGTCAGAGTAGGCTCTCGCTCGCCCTCGTCCATCCCCTCCTCTCCTACATCAGCGTGAGTCTGTGCCACTGCTTCTTTTTTTTGCATACTGATGGCTTCGTTCAGACACTCTTCCTCTTCTGCCATATTCGAGCGCGACATCGAACCACTCGGAACAACATCCCCGCCCCTTTCCCAAATCCACCCACTCAACCCACATCGCATCCCCCGCTCTAAAACCACTGAACAACTCGAACAAAACGTCCCTTCCGTCCTCGACACCGCGGCTGCCGTACTTACATCCGCATCCCCCATGGAAGAGGACCAAATCGCCGTCGTTACCCCGGCTTATGAGCGTCCATTCCGTCCCGCAGGCAGCGGCTTCGCCAGCCCCAATTGGAGCCTCAGAAGCCGTAGCCCCAGCCCAACTGGCACGGCCATACGCAGTGCCCCCGGTTCCACGGCCGGCCCCCGCACCAGTCTCTTGTTGAGCGTACCTGGGTCACCCTCCGCGCCCCTTCCGCCACTTCCATTCCCCATACTCACTCCTTCGACGAGTCCCAAGGACGCCTCAGCGGGACAACCGCAACAGCAGAGATTGACAATTCAAACGAGTCCGTCGGCGCTCACACCTTCCATGTCCCCACCAAAGACCATCCCGAATAACCAACCACACCCGAGTCCGAGCGTGAGCACGCCGACCTCAGTGTATTATTCGACGGTGTCTACTACCGATGGATCTCAAGGATCGCCTACGACAACGACGGCCGAACAACCACCTATGCTCCTACCTGCCTCCCAGTCCCTATCGCAACTGCAATCGTCAGCTTATACTGCTACATCTGCAACTCCCAACCTGAATGCCACCACCACGATCGGCACCACGAAAATGACGACACATATCCACTCCCCTGTTTCCCAACACTCCATTATCCCCACCACCTGCAGGCTCACCCTATGCAGCCGGTTCCCCTTGCATCCACCCAACTAGTCTCTCCCACCCGCCGTCACCCACTCCACCTCAAAAGCGTCTCTCCTTCATCTCCTACACAGATCTCCTCGCCTCAACGCCAGCGGCAACTATTCCTCTCTCGTCGTTTACAAACTGCTCAGTGGCGGAGCCCCCGCCACATATTCCTCGTGTGTCAGGGTACACGGGGCATACCGGGTGCACTGGTATCGGACTTTGTGGGCAAGATCGTGATATGCTTACGAGGGAAGGCGGAAGAATTGCAAGCGACAGGGGTACTGGGGATAGAGAGGGCATGATGATGTTGGAAGACTTGGGCGGCGAGTGGGCACGTGAAGGTCTAGGAAGAGGCTTGGAGGAGAGGCTGGAGGCGTTGATGTCCGTTCCGGATAGGTCGTAATTGGAGCGCAAGCATTTAAGTGTCCAAAGCGTTCGAATGTCGTCATGGGTTCCGAAAAGTGAGTCTTAGCCATCAAATAGTTTCTCCTTGATGAACTCGTTGCAGTGTCATCTTTCATCAGATCGTTCATCCCGCCTTCTACCTTTCGACCATCACTTTACACATGTGTTCCCGACAAGGTGATACGGTCTTCTAGAGTCACTCCCTTTTCTTCTCGCCGCGAGGAAGACAGGAGAAAATGAAAACAAGGACAACCCGATGGCTGAATTATCTTACTTCTGTATTAATCACCGGATTTGAAACCTTCCTACCCCTTTTCGTATGCGTACTTCTTTTCTATGATAGTTTTCTCTGCTTCCCTGTTCTTCCATCCCTTACCCAACCCCAAAGGATTGTGTCTTTGTATGAGGCAGCTTTTTTACAGCGTGATCGATGATCCTTGATGGATGTACCCGGTTTACAGTCGGTCTTGGAATTCGAAACTTTGACTTCTCGGACGCTTCAGCGAATTTAGGGTTTCAATAAGTGACAATGTCAGGCGCGTTGCTGGGCGCCGGAACGTGTGCCGTTGCTCAATACAAAATATCAACAGCACCGCGTCAATAGCACTTCTTCCACACGCCAGGCATCATCGCGTACTTCACAGCTTCGGGTCCCCCTAGCCTGGAGCCATTTGGTACACTTCGAAGTTCTGTCCTTGTCTTCATCCTTCAGGACTCGAGCAAACACCATACAGTGGCCCGATACTTGTGCAAGCGTCATGTACTGGTAAGCGCATTAAGGAATAACTCGATAGTCGTGTTTAATACATCTCACCTGCATCACGCTGATCGGTTTCCAATATCTAAGTACTATCCCACCACAATGGCTGAACCGTTGCATTGGGCAGCGACCTAGGATGTTGACTGTACTTCATGGTCGCTTATGCACTGTGCAGACTTCGGAGCGTCGCAATTCGATCCACAGCAAGTCAGATGACAAATGGACGTCGAGCGGTGCAAACTTTATTGACCCTGGGGCGCGCCTATGGAAGGGGAGATAAGTATCAAGCAAGATAAAGGTTGCACCGCACCATCGCACGATCCCAGCCAGTGACCAGCGCCCACTATCTGCTTATAATTCCACAGTATGACGGCACCACCAAAGAACCAGGATCCTGCTGGGGGGACCGAGACTCGAAACAAGGAAGCTGCGATGCGGGAGCTTATCATGTCTGCGGTGGAGACTGCTGTGACGCCAGTCACCTCTGGACTTGGCAATCTCCAGCAACGGCTTGACACTCTTGCCACGGCCGTACAGGAAAATGCCGTTGACAAACATGCCAAGATGTTACAGAGCCATACCGAGCCGTTGCATACGCGCCTTGGTACCCTTCGGTCTGACATCCTCGATGGAGTAGATCAGCGCTCCATGTCGTTGAACAGTAATCTTGAGTCGTTGCGGAATCAGACCATTACGGTAGGCCAGCACCTGGCTGAACTTGGACAATCGGTGCAGGCGGCACGGGATGTCGTAACTGAGACTTCTGGACAAGTCCAAGACGTCGCCAATGCCCAGCACGTCACAAATGGTCATATCACTGATGTTCTCGTCAGTTCTCGTCAGGTCAGTGCCATCCTGTGCTTCTCGCATAGTCTGACCTGTTCTCTGTATGTGTCGTCAGATTTATAATGCTGAACGTGGTTTGGGACTTGACCACCCATTCAAAATCATTCCCTTCGTTAATAAAGATGGTGGAGTTCAGTGGCCAACTGCAGTGAGCGATGGTCCCAAATACTTTTAGCATCTCCTGAAATTTTGATCTACCTTTTGTTATTGTCTATGTCCGCGAAGTGCGGCCTGCCTCCGCTGCTGGACATGCGCATGATAAACAATTTGAAAGACCATGAACTCGATCAATACTTGGATGGATATAGGATCCAACATGTGGGACTGGATCGCGAAGTGAAATTGTCCAAACTCAGGGAGTATATCGGCTGCATGCCTGTTGATAACTCCAGTCCGCACGGTATGGCATTTGTATTTATGTTGGCGATGGGATGTTTGTTGTACTTGTATTTCCCCCATTTATTTGTCTGAATTATCACTCACCTTGCCATTATGCGTAATCTCTATCACTGCTGTGTCACGATTTCTTGTAGCTGTTCCTTTCTCGTTGTATTTTCAATTTCCAGACCTGTGCATGATTCTTGTTCGACCGCTAGTTTGTTTACATGTATCTCAAGCTCTTACGAGTTCTTTTAGTTCTTGGTGAGATCAGCTAAGCTTCAACGTTCGCACCACCAACCCTTGACAAGGATCAGTTTGAAAAAAAATGAACGGAGTCTTTTCGAAGCATGTCGGAATTCAATTGGCGATAGAAGTCCAGATTTCCATCTCCCCTCCGACAAGCAGTGAGTCGTCCCTGAAATAAAATTTTTAGTTACAAAGCATGGTCCTGTCAGCACCGTCAAAATATTCCTCCAGACTGGCCAGCGTAGTTCAAGCCCGACCCCATGAGTTGCATTCGTAACGCCTGCCTCGTTGTCGAGACCATAACTAACACTGCAGCCGGCGCACATTGCATGGTTGCCGTTGGCACGTGCAGCGGGATGCGGGAGTCCTTGCATACCGATGCCTTCCCGGCTTTTCACAGTGATCGATAATCTCCGAAGTCCACTACTTATCATCAAGGACAATGTATTCCTGTTCCATCCACGGTAAGTACAAACAGTAACTCAGAGAACACGTGAGTTACCGCAGTTGTGCCCATGGATATATGCTAGGTGTATAAAGGGTTGCATCGTTATCAAGCGATCTCTTCTAGTGACCATCACCTCCACCTATAATTCCACAGCATGAGTCGAACTGGCGGTAACCCAAACCGGGACGCTGAGATGGAGTTCACGTCTGTGGTGGGAACTGCTCTGAGACCAGTTACCTCCAGACTTGGCGATATCCACCAGCGGCTTGATTCTATTGCTGCTAACATCCAGAACAATACTGTTGCAGCACATGAAGGGATGTTGCAAAGTCACCTCCGTCCGTTACGTGATGGTCTCGGCACACTTCAAACCGAGATAGTCGCAGAGATCAGTCAGCGCCTCACACCGTTGAATAACAATATCGATACGCTACGAAACCAGATCATCACGACGAATCAGTGCTTGGACGAACTTGGGCGATCGTTGCAGGCTGCACGGGATGACGTCGTCAATGCCCAACATGCCGCTCTTGTCAAATTCTATCAGGTCGGTGCCAGATCTCATTAATCCACCTGTCCCATCATACACTTACATGCTTCATTTCAATATGGTTCCCATATGCCTCTGCAGAGCCATAATGTTAGTTGCGGTTTAGGATTTATACATGCATTCAGAATCATCCCCTTTGTTGGTACAGATGGCACATCTCAATTACCGAGTGCGGTAGGTTCCAGAACTATTCTTGATTTGACATTACCTGAAAATCCCCCCATTTCACTGCTGCGTTGTCATCGTGCGGGCTGGTGTAGTTTGGGCTGCCTTTACTGCTAAATACGTGTGTGATCAGCAACCTAACGGACCACCAACTCAATCAGTATATGGAGAGATATGGGATCCAAGTCGAAGCCAATCGGAGCACACAGCTATCCAAACTCAGGGAGTTTATTGGCTGCATGCCTCCTGATGACTTTACTTCGTACGGTGTTGCGATCTTTCCCTTTTTGATTGGAGGTCTTCCGTACCTATCCTTTCTCTTCGTTGCAGCATTAGTTTCAGGCTGTGGTTCTTGGTTACTGATGTCTCTCTGACTTAGCCTATTGTTAGAGCCGGACAGCGTCGAACTGTTGGCTCTATAAAAATGCCTTTGTGTCATCTCTGGTTCTTGTTCTAGGTACTTCGGCAAGTCGAGACGTTCTGTGGTGCATTAGGTCCGGCGTGTTACTTTGTTCGGGTCGGTCTATGCCAGAAGTCATATTAAAAGTCTGCAGTCATATCAATGCAACCAATGCAAAATCAATGTCCCACCACGTGTTCCTTCAGCACTCATCTCATAGTTCACGCTTCGAAGCTCACCCAATGCGGTCGATAGCGGTCAGGGCAGGTAACCATAGTATTGGTCGTCGTCGATCCTCTTTACTGTACCTCCATCGTCCCATGATTGAGTGGTGATCATGTACAGTGCGTGTAACACCCAGGAGCGTCCCAACGGCAAACAAACTTCACGCACAGGTCGTCGAGGGTAACTGACAGTAAATCGGGTCTGCAGAAGATTTCGTGGAGAACTGAATGGCGGGAGTGTCTTGATTCTATTCATAAGTGCTAGTATGCATAGCCCAGGGGTATCCACATTCTGCAGCGACCCGGAATGTATGGCGGACGCGCCGGACGCAGCCGTTCCGGCAACGGAGGATACTGTGAAAGATCGTCAGTCATTTCAGATGGAACCGCATGGACACATTCGTCGAGAGAAGTTGCAACCTGCATAAACACAAGTGTCGATTGGTATTAATGCGAATATTCCTAGATTTGCGTCTACATGAAGACCATGCCATGATTCAAGGCACTCCAACAGACAGCAAAAGCCTTATACCAGTGATCGATATTGATGATGTCAAGGACCATACACAAGTTCTGGCCACGCTCAACCGTATGCGCTGGAAACCAGCCAAGGTCCAATAGCCAATGCAATCTAGAAAGGGAGAATCGAAACAAGTTATGCACGTCAGGTCAATGAGTCACGTCCGCGCCTGCTCGGAGTTACGCTCGAGGTATCATACCCACATGGCCATCGGGAATGCGGAGGCTGAGAATATGTATTAGGACGGTGTGCCGAACTATTGTATCCATTGATGGAGCACGTACCCGCGGAACACATTCAACTACGGATTTATTCCGGAAAGAGAAGGACCTGTTAAAATAGACTATTGACGATTCCCGGACAGCCTCGAGTGCCTGTGATCGATAACTGAGGGGATCCAAGAGCAGATGTGTAGTTTAGAAAGCGGAAATAGAAACACCTTAGACATGGGAGGATCCGAAGTAAGTGATCCCTGCATCGGCTCAAAGCACCACGCTAATTAGTACACCACGCGAACTACCGTACCGACCCAACGAGTTCGGTATTGACACGAGGAAGAAACGAAGGAACGAGACGGAACTGTCCAGTTCCCACGGCGTTCCAACCTGCGGATAGGATCAAAAGTTGTTGGAACGCCCAAGGAGCAATTTCGAGTGGGAGTTGGGCAATTGCATAGTGTTCTTGTCTTTGGACACAGGGTTCTCATCATGATATATTCACAGGAGATCTACGCGCGCGCAGCTCCACGGCCAAGCAGCGCGTGTCAGATTTCTTACCATGACTCGAACTTTTCGGCCAGTTCAGGCAGCACCCACAGAACCTCCAAACTTGGTCATGGGCGTATCACGGAGTAGATACATATAAGATTGCGTTGCACTATCGACTTCTCACACGTTCTTAGCCAGCGACCACCAACTCGCTCCCCGCCTACAGTTTCACAAAATGTCTCAAGGTCGGACTCCAAATGATGCTGGCACTGGTACCACCCAGACACAGAACCGGGAAGCAATGATCCAGGATGCCGTCACGATTGCCGTGGAGACTGCTCTTAAGCCAGTCACCTCCAGTCTTGGCGATATCCAGGAACAGCTAGGTCCTGTTACCGACCACTTGGAGGAAAACACCGTTGCCGCGCATGGCCAGATGCTGCAAGACTGTCTCGGCCCACTGCAAGATATCCTTACTGCTGTCCAACCTGAGATCCTCAACGAGATGGGTCAGCGTTTCGCGCGGTTGGACAGCAATGTTGAGACACTGCAGAATCAGACCAAGACAGCGAATCAACACCTGGATGACCTCGGACAGTCGGTGCAGGTAACATTGGGTGTTGCAGCTGCGACCGGCAAACGGGTTGGGGACATCACCAATGACCAGCAAGTTACAAATAGGCATGTTAATGACCTTGTTATCGACTCACGTCAGGTCCGTTGCAGATTGATCCCCTACCTATTCTTCCCCCATGCGTTCTGACTGATCCATTTCTGTGGTGTTTGTATACTTCTGTAGATATATAATTTCGGTTGCGGTCCGGGATTTGTTCGTCAATTCAAGACCATACCCTTCATTCGCACAGACGGCGAAATTCAATCACCAAACGACGTAAGTGTAGGATCTCTATTCTTTGGGGCGTTTCCTGACATTTGTTGGCTTTGTCTGTTACATATACTATCGCGCGCTCCCGTGTAGCTTGGCTTGCCTTCACTGTGGGACATCCGCGTGATAAATAACTTAACGGACCACCAGCTTGATCAGTACTTGGAAGGATACGGGATCGAACACAACGGGTTGGATCGCGAGGCGAAACTGTCCAAGCTCGCAGGGCACATCGGTTGTGCGCCTATTGATCGCTCTAGTTCGCACAGCATGACCCTGTACTTCATGTTGATAATGGGATGTCTCTTGTACTTATACTTTCCCCAGCTATTTGCTTGAGCTATAACTTACTCTGTTGTTATGTGTAACCCCTATTAGCCTGTACTATGGTCTTTACTGCCTGTTTTCTACTTGTAGTGTCAGTTTCATGACGTCGTTTGTTTATGGACCTACATAGCTTTCAGGTCTCCTGATGGTGGCTATGAGTTGGACTCCATCTCCGCTCGGAAGTGCTGACATCATGATGTCACTCCCTGCCTCAGTCGCCGAGTGACCGCCTTTCCCGCATCCGTTCATCATGACCTCTGAAACAGCTAGAACATACACCTTTCTCGGTAAGCAACTGCGCTTCACTACATGGGGTAAGCTAGCATGACTCACGGGTACCGTCTGTTTGTTCGTACTCTCATGACGTCCATGACACCCCTAAATACATCCTCCATTGCCCTTGCAGTAACACTGATTCTTCTTGTCGCTGTCACATTCACCGTCATAGCTCGTAGTATTATTCTCCGGCGACGAGATCGGCAGTTACTTGCTCAAGCAACGAATGAGCGATTTGCTGCGGATGTGGGACCGTCGATTTACGGAACACGGAGACGACAGAGAGTCGTCGGTGAGAAACCTGCCCTGTGGCAGATGTGGACCCGGAGTCCCGACGATGTACGCAAGGAGTGTGGGCGGGTGGTCTGGACTGACATCAAGGCAAGTCTCACCCCCATCCCTTCCTGCGGAGAAGTTCTAACTAATATATCCGTGGTCGGCCCCGTCCCCGCTATCTAGCCTGTGAGTATCGCATATATCGACAAGGAAGAGGACAAGGAGCAACCACCCCAGTGTCCGCCACTCTTACGAACGCAAAAAGTCCGGGGGCCATTTCACAGACATCCCCCATCTTCGCAGGAATCATCCACTTCGTTACCCTGTTTCGAAGCACCATCTTCGGGTCTGAGTGATACCTTCCAATTACGCATTTCCGTACTTGTAGCGATGCCCGCGCCCGAATATTCCGCTTCCTTTTCACCTCCGTGGAAAGACAGACCACTTGAAGTGGATCGTCTTCCCCCAATAGAAATTGGCGTTGTGGAAATGGATGTTCACGGGTGATTTTCTTTACTGGACTACATCGGATTGTATACTCTTATGCATGGAAAGGACTATGGAACTGTACCGTACTGTACATGTATTAATTCCCCTGAACCCTCGAGTCAGCGCTTTCGCCTATGTTGAGGATATCGGCTTGGGCCAGCTCAAACAAGGGTACTTGACGCAGTGTAGGTGTTGTCAGGAGTATTCAGATTGAACAGACGTTAATGCTGATGTGTTGTCAGAGGGTGGAAGCTACCCTCGCATGCGCCTGTAGGCTGTTTGATGACCGCCATCCTCCCGGGCCAACTCATCTAGGTTCACTCGCGAACACGGGGTGACGTTTTCATGGTGGTGATCGAAGCCGAAGGCAATGTAGTTTGCGCCAGGACGACTTGCGGTGAGTATGCCCTTGGACAGCAGAATCCAGCGTGGGTCGTGATGTGCGAGACTGAACGGAAATCGGAGACAAGCGAAACAGCAGTGGCTGGGTTATCAACACTGCGACAATGGTACTGACCAGCGCAAAGAAAACAAGAATATGAATATGAGGGTGAAAAGTCAGGGAACCACAAAAAGATGTTGTCAATATCGAGATGACTCTGCCCCGACGAGGGTATCTGCGCATGCGCATTCGAAGTAGATAGACTTATTGATTCATCGCCGACGGGTGCACATAATGCGATCTGGACGTTGGAGCAGTGGGAGAGAGCAATGAGCTGAGCTTGGGGCAAGCACCAAGATCATCTGCCTAACTGACCTTGTGTGTCCGCGTCTCCGTCCGTCTGACTAAGCCCAGTGTGGCTGTGTCTTAACCTCGGGCCTCCACTACAACGTCGTGGAGAGGAAGGCAATGACTTCATTTTACTTTGGCCTACATATGTGGCAGGAATGGATCCGAATTTCGAAGCGGTCGGTAAGTTTGCCAGGTCTGGAGCTGGGCTGGCGTATTCGTGGAGTTATCGTGTCGTCCTTGCTTTTCTGTCCACTGGTGAGAGGAAAGACAACGAGGTAGAAAGGAGGGCTAACATTTCCAGGGACTTTCCACCTGTCGCGATCGACGTTGGTGCAGGGAATCCTTCGGCACGCACACGAAACTGGACAGGACCTATTGGTGAATATGCCAGTTGGAAGAAGGGAATCGACTCATGTCGACCCCGAAGTCACGTTTGTATCTGCTTAACTAGCGCGGAAGTTTAGAGTGATTTCGCCCCATTGGGTGCGTACTGTCCCGAGAGTGACGTTTTTCGACATTACCATCCGGCCGAGTATGAGGATCGGTTACTAATGTGGGTACCAGGAGTGCTCGACATCACGAACCCTACTAAGGTAGCGTATGGCGTAGTGGTGCAAACCGGGTGGATAGATTAACCGGTCGCGTGGTTGAGTTTTCGCGATAGGCTTCTCGGATCTCCAATATTCCTGGGTGTTCGAGGGTGTCATGGGTACCTTGGTATTCCGAGAAGGCAAGGGAATGTTCCTTACTCGCCGGAGAAGTAAAGTTTCCCCGGACTTGGATGGCGTCGCGTAACTGAGAAGGTGTGGATGGATAGATTGCTGTTGTGGAGTAAAAGGATTGTTCGGCAGGAATTCTCGTGTCTTCAGCATGAAGCAGAGTTAGTCGGTATCCGAGGGCAACAAAATGATTGCTGAAGTGAGCCTTTCGGGATTCGCTCTGACACATCACGGAACCCACGGCTGAACATTATCACATCAGCAGGATCAACCTGGACTCTCGGAACAGGGCTTTTACGTGGGTGTTCCGAGGGATATTTAGACTTCGGAAGTGAGCCTGGATAGCTTTTCGTTACGGGGAGAATCGCCAACGAAACACACGGACGATCCGACGACTTCGTCGCTGCACGGAGTCGGAGCTGTGCATGGGAATGATGGTGTCACCACTACGATCAAACTGTATCATGTATGGCAGGGGCTCAAACGGTTGTAGTGCGAGACAAACGGATGAGCTGATATTGCGGAGAGTGTGGGTGTGGGTGGTTTAGAAGTGTAAAGATGCCACGTATTAGCAAAATGTGCCGGGAGGAACATGGCCATAAAAAGACTCTTCGGGCCTCAGGGACAAACTGCGTGAGACATGTTCGGCTGATAGCTGGTAAGACACCCTGATAAGAGAGATGTGCTTTTCACTGTGCGATGGAACCGGGGACGGATGTGGTGCGAGCGGGGAGCGGTGCAGTACAGTGCAAGGCTGTACTCGGAGAGTAGCCTCGTTGCAATACAATATATATCGGCAACGGCTGTTGGACGTCGAGAATGTAACCTCAAGATGAGAGTGGCTGGGCTGGAGACGGCTCTGGTATTTTTTTCGAAACAGGTGCCTGACAGTAGCAGTCCCACATCACAGACAGCCGAAAAAGAGCAACGCACGACTGCGACCACCACTACTACGATGACGAGCTCAGCGATGGGTGCGATGGACGGGACGGCGGTGATGGCAGAGTCCAACAGTAATAATAATAATACTAATCCACCTGCTGGGGTGCGGTCAACAACCATTTTGGGTTCTTTTCTTCGTGCCAGTCGACCGCGGGGCGTCTCCGCTTCCCAACAGCAGCAGCCTCAACAGCCCTCCCCCGCTGCGCAAGACACTCCCCCGTCCCCGTCCCCGTCCCCACCAGCGGTGCCCAGTCTAACCTCTCCAGTTCCACCCCCAAACCACCGCAGAAGGTCGTTTGCCCCCCAGGCACTCGTCATCCCACCCTCGAATCCACCCCAGGCGTCTTCCGGTCTCGGCATCTCCCATATCCTCAGGCGAAGACGCTCGATCGGTGGCACTGGCCCCAACGCCCTCAGCCCGACTCCCGTCTCTCCCTCCTCAGAGATCCCCCCATCCACTACGACGTCCACCCTCACCCCCAATCCCAATCCCAATCCCAATCCCAATCCCAACAGTAACATGCCAAATGCCCTACCCCAGGTCAACCACACCGCCTCATCTGGCAGCCCTTCCCAAACCTACCGCATCCGACTCGTCCCACACCTCGACTCCCGTCGCACTCTTCGCTTCGAGCCTATCACCCGTGATCTCAAAGATGACGACTCTCCCCTCCGCATCGGGCGTTTCACCGATCGTGCAGGCTTGACCCTCGCAGCTCAAAATGCTCACAACTCCAGCAAACTCGCCTTTAAATCCAAAGTCGTCTCTCGTGCCCATGCAGAGATTTGGCTGGAGAACGGAAAGTTTTTCATCCGAGACACCAAGTCTTCTTCCGGGACATTTTTGAACCACTTGAGGCTGTCGACTGCTGGACACGAATCCAGACCGTTCCAACTACGTGACGGTGACATTCTTCAGCTCGGCGTCGACTATCAGGGTGGATCAGAGGATATTTACAAGTCTGTCAAGATAAGAGTCGAAGTCGGAAGGGAATGGCAAGCTTCCGCGAATGCATTCAAGTAAGCCCTGTCATGTGGACCGACGTATACACCAGAGCTAATTCACTCTACGGTAAGCATGAATGCGATCACCCAGCTTAAGGAGCTCGGCGTGGGCACAGACCCACTCAAACAAGGAGAAATCAAAGGGAATAAACGTCCCTCCAAACAAAACATACCGGACTGCTGCATCTGTAAGTCGTCCCACATCTACTTCTGCGCATACGACGGGCAGAGCTGATCTTCTGTGCGCAGGCCTATTCGCCGTCACGATCCGCCAAGCCCTCTTCATAGCACCCTGCTCACATGCCTTCCATTACAAATGTATACGACCCCTACTCGAAAAACACACCACCGCATTTTCGTGCCCCCTCTGTCGCAGTTTTGCAGACCTCGAAGAGGATGTCGAAGTCGAACCTCAAGCGGACGAAGCGGACGAAGAAGAGGATCTTGAGGGCGTCGAGGCCAGGGCGACTGGAGGCGGTGTAGGCAATGCCGAATGGGATGCCCCTCATGATCCCGTCTCTGCGCCGATCGAGGTCTCCTATAATACCCATACCCACGCACGCGACCGTGACCGCACGTCACACAATCACCACCGCGACAACAACCACCTTACTGCACCACCTCATTCCCAGCCTCGTGACGGCGCCGAGACGGAAGTAGAAACAGAAATGGGACATGAAACACACCGTTCGCGTCGACCACGTGTCACTGTACGCACGGAGGGACATATCGTCGTTCCTGCTACACCCGCTTCAGTGCCTACCCCCGGTGCGGCCCGTGGTACTAGTAACACCGCCCCTGGGGTCCCACCAACGCACCCACGCGATACCGACGAAGAAATGATCGATGGAGACCTCGACGCTGACCTGTACGCCGACGAGCCCGATCTCGCCGATGCATGGATAAGACGCGTTCGACCGGTACAGAGAGAGGAGGGGTCGGAGGGTGAAGACGGAGGAGAGGGCGAAGGGAGCCGGAGTGGGAGTGGGAGCCTCGAGGGCGGGATGAGTGTGGGCTTGGGGATGAGTATGGGGATGATAGTGGATCCCGAGGGGACCGTGAGTAATGGAAAGAGGAAGCGGTGACCGACACGTCGATGGTGGGTGACGGCCCCGGGAGGGCGATACAGTTCTGTCGGTGCATCGTCTGGCGAACGATGGATACGTCCACTCCTTGTCACATCGCATTCCTGGGTTGTCGATACTTCACGATGGTCTCGTTTGCGCTGATTCAGTCTATCGGCCCGAATACCCTAACACTCGTTCCTTCGTTCTTCCGCAGGCCTCTGCTCTCTGCATTCGATATCCCTTGGCGTCGAAGCGGTCGACGAGCCCGGACGTTCCATCCATTCATTCGTTAGCACATCTGTAAAACGCATCCACATCCCTCTCTAATCACAGCGCATAAAAGAACTGATACAAAGGCTATTCCACCATCAACTCGCTTTCCCTTATACACCTTGCTTAGCTTCTGTCGGCTTTCCCTTCTCACACTTGATCTCTCTTTTCCGAGTCCAATATTTTTTCTTGTGTTATGTGAAATGTGGTGATGCATGAGTCTGTTGGATAGTATATTAAGTACATAGGCGTGTAATGCAACGGCTGTTTATTTCCGGTGATTCTCACCGTTGCAAGAGGAGCGCAACCGAATCATCTCCACAGTATGGGGAATGTGCTCGTGTCAGCGTCTGCATTCACCCATGCCAGCTTCAAACCCATGGGTCATATTTAACGGTCATATTTAAGTTTTATATCAATGAAGCCGACGATTGAACTACGGATAAAGATACCGGCGACCAGGGCTGCCAGCTGAGTCACAGGGGGAACGACTCGATGTGGCCTGACGTTTGACGTCCAGCTACCCACGCACACGAATCCTTACCTGTTTCAGAAAGTTGAATTCGGCGCGCCGAGTACGTGGGCGGTATACCCTGAAAGCAAGAGTTGGAACGCATGTTGGCGGGACAGAAAAGCTGAGCCACATCAATGTCAGCGCTTCAGCCCTGTAGTCTGGCTATCATAAAATTTCCTTGGCTTCCCTTGGTTCAATACAATGCACAATTTTTTCTTATCCATGTTCGCATTATACTCAGGGTCATCCGACAAGGTACGACCAACGTTTCAACTGGACCATTCAGTGCGGAAAGTTAAAATGTGGTGGTGTACGCCTTTTGGTATTAGTGTTCATCTGACGCACTTAACCTCCTCAGAGCTAGCCCCGTAATACTTATGTAACTAAATACTCGGATTGATCAGGAACTTCAAGACCCTAGGAGTCTCGTGATGTTAGGCAGGAACAGCTGAGTCTAATCCCCTTGTTGCTGCGCCCTTAGGCGTTTTTCGCCAGGTTCGTATGTATGCACCACTCGGAAGCCTATCAACTATTACGATCGGCAACATTTTGGATGGATGATTTACTATATGAAAGCTTGGACTCTACGCCCCAATTCTCCTCTAACAACAGTGTCCTCATGTCAAAACCATTACCCGTCGGGGACATACAAAAGTCCACATTCGTAGGTGAGCTTTCTTTCTTTGTCTGCCGTTTGGACGTGCGTATCATGCCGAGTATCTTCCTTGCGAAGGATTCAATATCGCTCTTCTGTGAGTGACATATTCTATGTACTTGTAATGAAGCTGACCGAATGCATACCGCGACAGTATGTTTGGTGTCTCCCTATGCCAAAACTATTATTACTTCCGTATGTTCCCGAAGGACAATATATTCCAGAAGTGTCTGGTCAGTTCTCTATGTTCTGTTCGACGGCCTCCTGATCCCGGTGTTAGGTAGGGTTGATATGGTAGGTGACGCGTGAGGATGCCAATGCCAATATTGCAGAAGTCTAAGCGCTGTAAATGCATAGGGTTGGAAGTACTTTCCAGATCTATTGCATGATAACGCTCCAAGGCCATTTTCTTGTCACAGGACATCATAGTGACCCTGGAAACTTGCCTGCTTTACCCTGGTACGCAGATTCCTTATGTCAAATTTTCGTCGAACTCACGTCTATCAACATTATTCTAGGCAGGGCACGGTGAGTTCTTGTCGCGTAGGAAGCCCTCAGTTTGAATAACATTAAGAGCAAAGGCGAATGCTGTACAAATGGTAATTTACGTTCTAGCTCGAGCAGACGGACGAATCTGAACCGATTCATAGTTCTCGATTCCGTTCATTGTGCAGTGGTAAAGGCTTTCATAATGTCATAATATGGACTAAACTGACCACCACAAGCTTTTACGGTTGGAGACTGTGGATAAGTAAGAAACGATAGCAAACTTCATATGTGTTACTCTACTTATTTTTCATTTAGTCAGTGGTGGGAATGTCTTGCTCGTTGCTTCTGTGGTATGTGTGCCGCTTTCCTCACCAGAGATTATACGTAGACTGCTACCAGATACTGTTCAGTGCTGCCACGTTCCGTAGGTAAATCAACAAGTTCCTGTGTCCTATGGTACTTATAAACTTTCTCAGTGAGCAGCGTGGGTATGTCTGTCCTCTACTAGCGTCCCGCATCGCAGATGATGACGGACTCTAGGATTTATATTTGGGCTTGAATTACCGATGTTCGCCTTGCGTGCGGCGGTAGGTTAACGACACCTTTCCCGAAAGACATTAGCGCTCCATTGGTGCTCTTACCTGTAGTTTTCTGCAACAGGTGTTATCGCAGACGTATTGATTACGGGTTCGGTATACTATTATCTCAGGCCGAGCCGCTATGGAATGAAAAGGTCCGCATACATATCAATTGCTGCTGTTTCTCTGCATTAAAAACGTTCTCTTCAAGAGCAGAAACTGCCGTCCAACATATTGTGACCGTGACCATTAACATGGGAGCATTGACAAGGTATCTTTTCTCCCAGTCGACTTCGTTTGTACGTTTCTGAATCTATTCTACAGCATTATTGCGTTGTGGCTCTGGATAACGGTTTGTTTTTACCAGATACTCTTCCGTTCCATGCGTCTCTAAAGAGAGGTAGTGGCTTACACAAGGGGCGATTCCTCCGATCTCCACTCCGCTCATGATAACTAGCCAGTGTGAGTAGCCCCGCTTTGCGGATGAGATACAATGAATTGATGACCTGAAAAACAAGCATATGTCAATTCCATTCTTGCAGTGTACGTTCCACAAAGCTCGCCTTGTAGATGGTAGCTCTTAACTTACCAGATTAAATGCGAGGGCCCAAGAGCCGCAGAGGCCGCGTAGTCCAGACAAGCCACTTACTTTTGGACTTATGAGCTTATCCATACCGGAACATCTGAGCAGCCGGAGAAAGAAATCAGTTTGTCCTCTAGACGCACCCGAGTGTGCCGTGGCAGCGTAGTCACCGAAATATAAACACATTGTGTTCCGTGCTGCACTATGGAAGTCGGAGTGCCCAATTATTCTCCTCGTTCTCGTTGATCCGCCATCCGAGTCCAAGGATCGCCCTACTGTCCACGGATATTTCTGTCCTGTTGGTCTAACTGGCTTCGTGTCAAAGTTGTTCAGCTACTTCAGAAGGTGTGTAATATACTGCTGAAATCACGGACTCGCGTGTCAGCAGTCTCGTGGAAGTGACTCTTCGAAGGTCATCGGCGCTGGGGATGGAAGCCGAAGGACAGACTTTACCACTGAGTGTCGACTTCACGTCGTAATCTATTTACACAGCAGCGGGGTCTCTGTATTTGTAGAGGAACCTGTGTGCGGCTACCGGTTGCGATGGTCTGAGTTGAACGATATCAGATTGGTAGTTGATGAGAACCGGCTCGGTTCACCACCGGTTCGCGGGCATGTGTTTTCCGTATATGGTTCTTGGACTGCCTTCATTGATGAACTGGTTTGTGCGAGCTGACGGTGAGAAACGCGTATCATATTGGTCCTACTGCACCACAGCGCTTTTCTAAAACGACCGCAGCACGAACAGCAACGGCGAAGGCGACAAGAAAGAACATCCTGCCTCAAGCATAGGATTTCTTCTCTGGCCTCCATCCTTGCACGTTTCAAGACCGTTCCAGCAGCGGTATTAACATTCTGGTGTTGGATATGCCATCCAGCTGGAACAGACACCCTCGCTACTTGCTCTTAATAGCGCTGGTCATTTCGGCCACCGTGTACCTCCTGATTCCTTCCCAGCCATTGGTTTCATCCGATTCTTTCGCATCTTTGATTCGCGACACAAGCCTACCAGCCCGTTTACAACGTGCAGAACGTGTCTATCAGAATGTCGTTTCAGACCGAAAAGATATGATACGAAAATACGGTCCAACTTCCCGACACATACACATGTATGTTCCCCCGCTCTGACTTCTGTGGTTTTCCATAGGTGACCCTTTGTACAGGTTCCCTCCCGACAAAGACCCATGGCCAGCCTACACGACTTGTACGCCTATTTCGTCGGCCTAGTCAATGTTTCCAATGATGTCGTTTTGCGTATTTAGGGAGCTTCTTTCCTCCTGCTTTCGATTGTCCGCATGAGATGGAACGAATAGGTGCTCTGGGTGACGGTGGAAAATGGACTTGTGGTCTCTCTCGCCTAGAGCGCAAGCCGGACTGCATTATATACACGTTCGGTGGGTCCTTTCACATATCCGTATAAATAATTTCCTCGTATACCTCGCATGGTGCAGGCATGTACTACGAAACGTCCTTCGAAGCAGAGATGCTAGAACGTACGCAACACTGTCAAGTTTGGGGATACGATTATCGTTCCAACTCGTTCGGCTCCAGCAAACTGAATAACTATCGTGCCCACTTCTTCCCTTACGGCCTCGCGCACGTGGATGCGCACAGCCCACATGACGAGCAGAAGTTGTACACACTCAAGACGTTGATGGAAATGAACAGTACGTCTGTCGTTCATGATACATGGAGTCCAATACGATTCGCCAACTACACAGAACACACCCACATCGACATTCTCAAAGTCGACGTGGAAGGATGGGAATTCGAAGTACTCGCACAAATTTTGCAACCTTACATCACATCGGGGGAGCCTCTTCCATTTGGACAGCTACTAATTGAGATTCACACATGGGAGAAGAAATTTGAGGAATTTTTGTCGTGGTGGGAGGCGCTAGAAGCTGCTGGACTGAGGCCTTTCATGACAGAAGTATGATCTACTCTTTCACCATGTATCTGTTATCCCCAGGTCGCTGATGTGACTTCGTTCAGGTGAACCTTGTGTACCAAAATTACAACAGGGGCAAGTCCACGGATCTCGCGGAGGTGTGTATCATCGCGGATACTACTTCCGTTGGATGTGAATTATTCATCATATACTAGTACTCGTTCATCAACGTCAAAGGAAGCAATATCTTCATCTCTGATCCTCCAACGGCACCAACGGGTACGACTGATGGCAACGAATAGAGGGAGATCTATATGGCAATGCTCTAAATAGCTTCGGTGACAGCTATGTAGGTTTGTTACAGTGCTATGGAAATGTTGTGAAGTGAGACCCTAGCCTGGACCATCGTTGCAAGCAAGGCGTGTTTGGAATGCACTGGGAGCACTGTCAGTTCACACTCTGGGGACTGCTACTCAGTGCTCATCAGATTCGATATGTACCACTATTAGAATATCGTAGCAATATTGTTACCAGACATGAGCTTCGGCAGAAACCTTGTTCACAAATTGAGCATGAAGTCAAAGCGTCGAGTTTCGAATACTTTAGATTTTTGCGTATAAGATGATTGTTACAAGTTATGTATCATTCGCAAGGGCAAACACTCCAATATGCCATTTAATATATGGGTGGCACCACTGGCATTGTCTCGTTGCCATGGTGGGAATAACGTACGGCTGTTGTGAGATTTTGATGAGAAATTACTGATGACACACCCAAGCGAGTACTTACGAATGGAAGACAGGAGGTTGATGAGGCTCGACAGATATACAGCGTTGTGGTGGGGTACGGCTGCCAAGAATCGACTGGTTAAAGTGTGATCGTACAATAATACACGAGATATGATAGGGCCGCTTTGAAATTTTGACGTGAAACGACTTCAGACATACCAGAGCGAGTACTTGCGCATCGAAGGCGAGTGATTGACTGGGTTACAGAGTTATGCTGGAACACGGGGATTGACTAGTAGCAGTGACTGATTGCAGTGCTACTATAGGGTAAATATAGTAAAAGGTTCCCACAGCGCGAAAAACGCGACCACCACAGCCACAATGTCCTGTAAACAAGGTAACCACGAATGGAATGGAACCTGTGCACCAGCGTCAAACGTGTCTACAGCAACAGCGACCCAACTCGTTCCTTCAAACCCTCAGCTCATCTATCTAAACTCACGAACCGTACGCGAAAACTACTCGATGGCTACAAAGCAGACGAAGAGGCGTTCGCTCTTAGGCTCGAAATTATCCAATGCTGCATCTAACCATTCCTCGGTGCGCCACTCATACCTTAAATGCAAGCGATCCACTCACGAGGGGCCACCGTCTCAGACTCCCGCTGAAGATATCGCCTCTAACTCTGAAAAGTCGGGGAATGCTTCCCATAGAGCATTTGCCAAGTTGAAGCATTTCTTTCATCGTTCTACCGTTGATGTATATGATCTACAATGCTCTGTTACTGTCAGAGTTCTAAGTACCATCTTGTTTGACAGACGGAAATTGATGAGATCCAAGACCTAAGCGACACAGATCTCAAACCCCTCAAAGATTTCAACGAGGTGGTCGCTAATTATCCCAAGGTTCGCATTTCGTTATTGTATCTATACAATGATTCTGAATACGCACAAGGTCCACCCGTACCCACAGGTTGTGCTAGGAATCTTTACTAACATCTCTCAAGTACATTTTTTACTCCTGTAGTTTATTCTCATCTCACGCAATCCTCCACAAGTCGTTCGTGAATCAAGCGAGTGTGGACAAGGGGATATCAAGCCTTTTTGATACTATCAAGAGAGTCTACGAATTCCTCGCGGAAGAAGATACCCCCAAGAAAATGATTAACAAGAAAGTCACTGTCGATACCTCCGCGAAGCCCTCGTGGTATACTTATGCAAAGCCCGCGCCCGAGCCCACTGCCGACACTCCGCCAAAGATTACGCTCGATACCTCCGCAACGGCTGCGCTCGATACTCTTGCAAAGATTGCGCAGGTAACCAGCGACTCTACGCAGTTCATCAGAAACTATTCTATGACGAAGCGTTTCTGTAGGTCTTACCACGTCCTTCTCGACTTGACATGTCTGATGCGACACATTCTCAGGGAAAAGAACGGGAAAGGACACTCTTTCTGAGACGCAGACCATCGTCAATGCTTGCACAAAGACTCTAGATGACTTGATGCAACAATACCGCGACCCTAAGGAAGACGATGCTGAGATTCAAATTAACACATACCGTGGACTTGGAGATATCAGTCTTGAAGGCTTGGCTTGTGCAGATGGCGCAGGCCTGTTCGACTCCAGGAGATGCTTGGATGGTACTAGAACGGAGGTCCTTACGGAAATTGTCAGCTGGGTCTACAACACAAATGAAGACGTGCCGCGCATTCTCTGGCTGAACGGGCAGGACGGTGCTGGGAAGTCGACCATTGCCCATACAATCGTTCGATGGTTTACGGACGCCGGAGGGCTCGGAGCGTGCTTCTGCTTCGCTCGTGACAGGCTGGTAGAGCGCCGTGAAGAAAGAATATTTACAACCATCGCACGCGATTTGGCAGAGAGCGACCTCGCATTTCGGCGAGCTTTGGCCGATGCGGTCTCGAAAGACCCTTCCTTGAAGACTACGTATGATGTTACGTTGCAGTGGCAGCGACTCATTTTGGAACCGTTGTCGAAGGTTAGCGGAAGGATAGTTGGGAACGTGGTCGTGTTGATCGACGACTTGGATGAAAGCGGCCCAGACACATCGAGGAGCCACATTCTGTCCCTTTTCACGTCGGCAGCAGCTGTCCATCTACCCGCAAATTTACGCATCTTGCTGACGTCCAGGCCGTTGCCAGACATCGAACCTGTCCTACGTGCTGTTTCACATGTGAAGGTGATCTCATTGGACGAGTTGCTTGAGGAGTCGGCACGCGATATTACCTTTTGGGTTCAACAGGACCTCTCCCGTGCTCGCGACATCGGAACCACGGATATCCAGATGCTGGTCGAGAGGGCGAATGGTGCATTTGAGTGGGCTCGTCTCGCTTGCGACTACATCAAGCCAAACAGGCCGGGTCAGACAGCATGGGAACGCTGGGAGGAGCTCATGGCATTGGAGTCAAAAGGTCGGAGAACCTTGTTGGATGCCGTACATGAACAGGTCTTGGACGGCATTATCCCTAACGACCGGCTTACTGTGTCACGATTCCAGTCGGTGATGAAGCAGGTTATGTCGGCAAAGAAGCCGATGACTATTGATGCGTTGAACGTGCAACGCAAGCAATTCCCGAATGAGGAGGACCTTTATGACGTGGGGATCATCGTTGAATTCATGCGCACCTTATTGGTGGGTATCCATAACAGGTCCTCCCCCGTCCGACTTCGCCATGGGTCATTTTATGACTGTGTCACTGATCCTGAGCGGAGTCCGACGTACTTTGTTTGCCATGCATCTGAGCTGCGTTGAAGCTGGTGAGTGTTTATCTACCTGCTCCCCATTTACGATTTACTTGAAGAATATTTAGTTGAAGCATACCTCACTTCGTACTAGCCTTTTCACGTGAAAGCTGCGGCTTAAGCTAGTGCACATGAGAGATGAGTAATTGCCAAGGTTTTTGTGTTCCAATTGTGTTGTATGATTGTACCCCAAGTTGTCCTGATATATGTATACCAGTGAAATTCGTTGCCTCATTGTCAGTGTGCCCAAGAGGATGGCAATGCAAACTTTGAAGACACTGATGCCCATTGATGGGAGCACCACCACCACCACCCTAATGCATTATTCTTTACCCTAGATAGTATCATTTGTCACCCTTTTGTCATGGCTGTTTTTTTAAAAAAAGCATGCATGAATTTGATAATCAGTGGGACACTAAACACCACAGTGGTAGTATGGGGGACTATGTGATAGCACAAAAAACATCAACAGGGCATGAAATGGACAAAGAATGTGCCAGTCTCTGACATCAGCAAGTGAATGTAGACATAAATGAGAACTCTGGCACAAGAATAAAAGGGATTTTTGATGTACAGAGCAAAGGAAAGCTGAACAAAGCAAGCAAAAGCAAGAATGGTGATTCTACTTCAAGTGATGAGCATGTTTACCTCCTCCAGCACCAGCAGAAAAAGAATTTGCATTGGCAGACCTGCACTTCTCACCAGCAGATGCACCTTCAGTATTCTTCTCAACAATGTTGGTAAATGTGGGGCACTGAGGGACACTGAGCTTCTCCTCATGGGAATCCAGAAGGGTAGCAGCAGCAACCTCATGCAGAAGAGGAAGGCCAGAAAACTTGCCAGGGTGCACATATTCTGAGCAGTAGAAGTTCAGGTGCTGTTCCATGTTGTATCTCCAGACTCCATCTCACCAATCAGTTTGTTGAGCATGTGGAGGGAGCAGGCACAATGGACAGACTACAGCCCCTGGGGGAATTATAATTACAAACTCCTGACCATAATTTGGGGGAAATAATGCTGGGAGTCAATAGATATGTCCATTGGGATGTCCCAGGTGAAATTTGAATGAAATTGGCAGTCAGAAAAAAAATCTACAGGGGGTAGAAGGATGGTCAGACCACAAAGTGGTATCTCTTTGGAAATACTTCTGGGAGGCTGGAAATCATTTCCATTGTCTTCAGTGGCATTGATAACACCCAGGACATCCATCCCTGGCAAGCTGGCACCCCCTCCTGAATGTTACTAGATCACCATCCCTGGGGTATGAGGAGGGGATCAGGTATGTCAATGAAACAAATATGGGGACCTTTGTATCACAATTCTGATGGTCTTGTAATGTCATACCCATGGGGTAGGACATGATTCAGATAGCTAGATCAATCTCTGAAATTGTTTTGATGGAGTGAACATGGGGAGGGCGGGGTAACATATCTTACATGGATATTCTGACACCTAGAAATGCTGCAACCATTGTCATCATCCATTGTGACTTTCAGGCCCTCCAGGACAACCATTCCTGACAAGGTTTCATGCTTCCTAAACTTTACAGGATTAGCACCCCAGGATAAGAGGAGGGGAATGACACATAGGGTCCTTTCTGGTGTGATCCAAATGGTCCTGCCATGTCATTCAAGTGGCACAGACATGGTATGGACAGCTGGATTGATCTGGAATTGTTTTGATGGAGCAAAGCTGAAGAGGGGGGTTCACATTTGGGCCAGGTATCATCCCAAGATGCCAAACATGTTGCTACCTGATCAGACTACACTAGGCAACACTGGGATTCAGTTCCATGGGAATGGGAACCACAATCTATATCAACATTGCATTCATCACTTTCTCCCTCTGTACCCATATCCTTGCCTTCCCCCTCCCCATCCCTCTGCTTCCCTCTATGAGGTGGCCTTGCCTCTTCTTGCTGGAGGCTTTCGAGCATTCTTTGCCTTTCATGACTTCTTAGTCTGTGCCTCTTTCAGCCTCTGCCTTTCTAAGATGAGGGCCTTGCTAGCCAGCAGTTCATCATATCCTGCATGCTCCAGGAGCTCCATCTGCAGTGCATTCCTGGGCTTTACCACTTGAGATGCTCGTCTCCTGGCCTGTTGCTGTTCCTTCTCGGTGGAGATACCCTCGATCTTGTAGAACTTGGGATTTGTCACCAGAACCACCTTCTCACCCTCCACCCGCCATGTCTTCCCAGGACTCTTTTCACTCCCTTTGGTCGCATCAGGTAATGTCTGAAGGACAGAAAATATCCTGCCAAGGTGGTCCAGCACCTCAAACTCCTCCAGGGGTGTCCTGTTCTTCATCACCTGGTGATACTCCCAAATATAGCCAGGCTTCGTCCAGAAGACATTCCATGGTGACCTCCGTGAAGGTTGTCCTGCTGTGGGTCCTGGGAAAAACAGGTTGACCCTCTCTGCAAAGCTTGACTGTCGGCGACCAGCCCCTCCACTCCCTGCAATTTCTGCATTGCAGGCCTTGAATTCGCAGGCACGTATTGTCCTGAAGGTCTGGTTCAGAGTCCAACTCTGAATGGCTTCTTCCAAAGATGTTGGCTCTGGTTTTCCCTCTGAGCCTGTCAGCCAAGTCGCATCCAACTGGATCCAAAGCTGACAGGTAAACAGAACGAAAAGTTTCCCTACCACTGGCCCCAGACTGGACAGTTGGGCCGACCACTTCCAGTCCTGCATGATCAACCAAGGCTGCAGTTGGATGGTCCTTGTCAATTTGGCCCACGTCGGTCTGCTGCCAATGGGAAATTGTTCCACTTCGTCCAGAGGGGGAATCCTTGGCCAGGCAGGTCGTCCATCACCCCTCTTCAACTTTCCCTCCATCAGCTTGAGCACCTCCAGGTCGTCATGATCCTGAACTTCTGGAAGATGGGGGACATGATGCAAGTCCAGGTCCAAAAGGAAGAACATTCCCAACCGCTCACACACCCTGGAGACCTGCAGAAGGGCCATGGACTCTCTCACATGGAAGTCAAGGATTATTGCAGTGGTGGACGTGCACCGAATCATGTGGCAGATGATGCCAGTCAGAATCCCAAGGTTGGGTGGTTCCAGTTCCTTGAGAGAGATCTGAGCCAACTGGAGGGCCCTGATGCGTCTAGCCATAAATTCCAACCAGACTTTGGTCGGGATCCAGAGAATGGGATTGGAGGCTAAAAGCTCTTCCATCTGCAAAGATGGAAGCATCAGATATGAGCATGATGGAGCTTGGAAATGCATCACCCTTTGTGGCACCACCAGTATTGCCTGCTCCACTGCAGCCCCACTCATCCTGTACTCGTCTCGCACCCCATATGACCTCTTCTTTGCATCTCCAGAATACATGTTGATGGCCTGCATGCATTCCCCAATGAAGTCATTGTTCAGGGCATAAGCATCCTTGTCCATGACAAAGGTGGGGCTGTTGTCGTTGGGTCGGATCACCTCATAGGCCAGATTATATGCACTTCTGAATGCAATGTGAGTTTGCCTTGCTCGCTCCTGTGACATCTCTGCTTGGATCCCCCCATACCGTCCAAGCATGCAAGTGTGGTGGGCATTTCCTCGCAAATATCCACCTGCCCCAAAGGAAGCTTCCAGGGCATCCAGTCTCCACAATCCAACGAGCTTTTCATCACATGTGGGGTGAATGCTGATTCCCAAGTCGACCAAGAGCTCCCCATTGGCCCTGTCTACCATGTGGGACCAATCCAGAGCTGGAAGTCCATGGAGGAGAGCTTGGACCGGCATTTGAACGGCTCCTGACAGGGTGGTTTTCGTCCACAACTTGATTCCCTTGCATTCCAGGACAAAGAAGAAGGAACCATAGTTTGCAAATCAGTGAAGGGTCCTCTCGGATGATTGCCTCCATGGTCTTCTGGATCTGCTTCAACACTTGCATAGAAAAGGGGACCGCTTTTGGCCGACCAGCCTTCTTGGTTTTGCCACCCTTTCGTGCCTTGAACTGCACTTCCTTCAGAGTGAGAGAGACATATGGTGCACTCGAAACATCTGCATGTGCACGGATCAGCTGGAAGTAGGACATGCTCCCAGAAAAAGTCAAGGACCTCCTTTGGGATGCGATTGGCACGCTTGTGTGTCATCTCGTCCCTGTGGATCATCCTGGGGAAGCAAATGTAGACATTCATGGTGCCAGCAGCATTGCTCAAGGCACCAAACACTGTGTGAGGTACTCCACACAGAGGAAATGCCATGGTCAACCATTCGGTACGGCTTCCGATGGCACTGGAATCTGCCTCTGACTGAGGCACGAGGATGTCAACATACACATGATTGTGCTTGTGCATAGGAGCCTTTTCCTCGACGATGGGACCAAGGTAGATGGGCAGCGGTGTGTTGAACTGTAGGGAATGCGTCACCCATATGAGACTGTCAATGTCCACAGTGACTTCCAACTCCTCTGGAGTCACCAACTTGTGATCCAGCTCCAGGTCCAGGCAGATGTGATGCCCATCCTCATGCCGCCCATTCACAAAGGTGTTCACGAGACTGTTCTGACGTGCTTGAGCCGATCTCGATCATCTGAGAGGCACCCAGTATGACCACATCATCCACATCGACTCTTGATGGATGGGGCACCTGCCGGGCAAGAGAGTAATTTCCTGGAACGAAGCAATCAGAAGAGGGCACCAGGGCAGGATATGAGTGCTCACCAGTAACATGGTCGCCGATTTGATGAGAAGACTGGTAGTTAGCTGGAACACCCACTTGGAGGATATGGTCTGACAATCTGATGGGGGGACCCAAGTAGAACATCTGGTTGAAGGAACTCAGCAGACGATAGCCATAATCTCGAAAGGACGTCCACATCCCAGGCCGATAGTAGGGCTCCTCCACGATCTCGTTGCAGTTGCGGTCCTGGTGCAAACTTTCCAAGACAGGTCCTCCTTCATACTCATCAAACCTGCGATCGAAAGGTTTCCATCGTTGACCTTGGTATGCAGGGAGGTATACCGGCGGAGTTGGACGTGGGAAACGGTACATCGTTCCAGCTGACCAGTCCTTGACATGCTTGTGTCGCTGGATGATCTCAAGGGGATCATCTGGAGTGGATTCCCCTTCGACTTGATGACCATGGGCAGCCCGAGGAGGAAGTCGATCCCTGGCTCTGGCCCTGCTCACATAAGGGTAGCGCCGAAGGAGATCCCTGAGACGCTGAGACTTGGCATCCAGAGGCAAATGATGGTCTTCACCTTCATCTTCAGTGTCAGTCGGAAAGTCACCATCGGAGTGCACATCAGGGTTCACTACATTGCTGGAGTCATCCCCCCTTTGGCAGCGAAGGCAGTTGGCCCCAATGACATTCAACTCACGGACGATGGTAGCATGTTGCTCTCCAGATGATTGGTTTTCCACATCCATGAGGATGTCTTCACTGATGGCTTTGGTGTCGTCCCACTGTGTCCATATGTGACTAGGGGGAAGGGTGGTTGTAGACAAGTAACAATAGTCCTCCCAGCACCTTCGACAGCCCTCCTTCACCATGACAAGCATTCGAAGGCGGAGACGATGACCACAAGGAATTGGAGGGATGTGGATGGTAGGCCTGCCATCACCAGATAGCCCCCCTCTCATGAGTGACTCCATGACAAAGGATGCAATGGGGCCACAGTCGAAACCGTTCTGTGACCAATTGTACACCTGCACATCAACTTGGGTTGGGTCGATGGCATCGAATCCATGAAGCGATGCTATGCGTGTCCAGTAGAAAGGGCCATTCCATGTGTTCCAGTCATCATGCAGTGGGTCATAGTGGGGATGAGGGGTTTCTGGGACACGTTCGATGCGCCTTCCAAGGATGAATGCAAGGTTCAACCAATAGTCAAAGACTGCAACAAAGAAGTGACTGTTTTGCATGACCACAAAGGCAATGGGAATGGATGGATTGGCAGGATGGGAATCGAAGAGATGGCGTTGACGAAAAAGTTGAATCTCCTGTGCATCTGGTAAGGCATGGGTGCCCCCACTGACAGATGGAATGACAGAGAACAAGTCGGCATAGCGGACATGCATTTTGCCCTGGACAGCATACCATTGGGACAGGAGATGAAAGTTGAGGATGCTGGCATCGATCCAAGTTTCATACCTGGAGTGTCCCTAGGGTCTGGTAGGCCATCGCCCATGTGGTAGGCCTGGCCATGGAACACACTTTCAGAAGCGATCATAAGCAGGATGGAGAGAAAGAGTACAGAAGAGACTCACTGATGATATCACGTACAGAAGGCACCCCTGACTCCTGACTCGAGTCCTGATGGGGTGGATGCGATGGTGCAACTGATGGGCCATGCACATTCACAAAGGAATCGTCAGAGGCATTGCTTTGATGCTCCTCTTCTGACCCACTCAAGTGGTTTACCATGGCCTGGCACTTCTCGTATATCTGGTTCAGTTCATCCTCATCAACAGAGGATTCTGGATCTTCTGGAGGAGTCATTGCTCTGGCAAGGAGACCACCCATTATTACACTGTAGGATGGGGACAGAGGAGAAGAGCATGCTGAGTCTGAATGATGAGATGGAGGAGAAATGGCCTTCATGACATTGTCAAATGCAAGTCTGATTTCACTTTCATCAGTGGAGGATGCATTGGAAGCAGCTCTGAGGGCTCTCTGGGAACGTGTCTGGGGTGCCATGGCAGTGGAATGTTGGTTCTTTGCCGATCCCAAACACGTAATGCCACGCCAAATCCAAAGAAAATTTTTCAGGGTCCGCCCTGGCTAACCGAGAATTGCAAGCGACTGTCATGGGTTACCCTCTGACTTTTTACTTCGCCTCCCAACCCAACATGGCCCCTCCATCCAACAAGACCTTTCTTTCCCTTCCATCATCCTCCAAGCTAAGTGGTAGGTCTCGATTAGATGCCAGCAGTCATTTAAGCTCATCCAGCCAGTGACGAACCTCACTGGTGCAGGTGAAGACATCCTGGATGGAAGGGCAGGAAGTTCCAGAACACATGACCCACACCTTCCAAAGAGGTGATAAGTAAGAAAAGACTGGGTGTGCATGTCATTTGCTGATGGAAGCTTTAATTAGCATCTTTGTAAATGGTGACGATGGCAGCCTGTGGTATGCTGTGATCAAGGACATCAGAGTCCAATGGTTGAAGAGAAGTAATGTAAGAGATTTCCAGTGCCACATGGGTGTCCACCCTTCTGACAGTGCAGTACAGAAGGCATGGGTTGAAGTGCAGTGGTACTACAGCAGGAGTGATATAGGAGACAAAAAGTGAGCTGGCTGTCATCGAGTTCCTTGTATCTTTGACTCACTCACAAACAGCATGAGAAAATACGTTGGCAACAATGAGCTGGTTCTATCGGACCACAATGACATCATCGAACCAGAGGCCATCATGTGTAAGTCATCCCTGAATTTTGTATACAGCTTGGAAGCTCATGGAGAGCATAGCACCAGCAGACATCACATCTTTCAGTGCAGAAAGGTGTTTTGGTCCTCTGATAGGACCCAAGGATATGTATACACGGTGGACCATGAGCACACATGGTAAACAAGTCATCCAGGTATTGATAAATGGCATGACACCAATTTTTGAAAAACTCCTGACATAAACTACACCCCATCAGGGCCCCTTCCATGCTTGCTCTGTCTGTGAAAAACCATATAACCCAGACAAAGCTGAACAACGGTATTGTCGAACCTGCAAAAATTGGTTCCACTGCAGTTGTTTACAGAAACTCGCAAAGGGAAGCACCAGACCCCTGGACATCACAAAGGAAGTCCTAAATGGGACAGGTCTCTCACTGCAGGATATTCAGGTGCGTGTCCTGTGCATTCCGATATGCAGGGGAAATGAGGGTGGTGTGGTGGGCAATGGTGAGGTTATGATGAGTATGTGGGAGGAGGTCAGAGCAGCACAGAATGGGCAGAGACAGGAGGTTGAAACTGGTCTACAAAATCATATGACCAGTGACCTGATCCAACAGGCACAGAAGTCATATGTGTATTATCGATGCTCCTTCTGTTTTGCAGAAGGCAGAGAGTGTTACATATGATGTAGGCTCTTTCTTGGCTGTAGAACCCTGACCCAAACAAATACCAGCCATTGAACAGAAAGAAAGGAATTGGAAGAGGCCAGGGTGATGATCAGGAGGCTAAATACTGCATTGGTAGTGTCAGATGCTGTGGTAGAACTGAATAAAGAGCAGTGGTGGGATCATGCACCAGTATGTGATATTTCAAAGACTCTTCAGACTGTCAGCACCATAGCACCTGCCCCCTCTACATGGATTATGACACTGAAAACACATGTAGGCATAATAGGCAGAATGCATCTGTGGACAAAAGCAGCAAACTGGATCCAAGTGACTTGGATGGCCATAATTACATCGGTAAATGTGGGTGGGACATGCTGAACAACAAGGAACATGGTCTAGCAACATATAGAAAGGGGCAGGTGGTCATACTCAGATTTCTCATATACCATCAGAGAAAGCATTTGTCAGGTTGCTACATCGTGGATAGCCTTTCTGACACTGGTAAAGTTGGTTAAGACATGGTGGAAAATAGCGAACATCACCTAGCAAAATATAGACTGGGGGAGGTCAGGTGGTCATGGACAAACTTATCATATACCGTCAGAGTCAGTGTTCATCGGATTTCTACCACTGTGGATGGTCTTACCGACATTGGTAAAGGTGGTCAAGACATGACGAAACGATGACGAACATGGTCTAACAAAATATAAACAGGGGGAGGTCAGGCGGTCCTGCTCAAACTTATCATATACCATTGACACAAGCGTTCGTCAAGTTCCTACCACTGTGGATAGTCTTGGGAACATTGATAAAGGGGCTTAAGAGATGGGGAACAGTGGAGAATGTGGTCTAGCAAAAAATAGACTGGGGGAAGTCAGGTGGTCATGTGCAAATTTATCATATACCATCGGACCCAGTGTTCGTCGGGTTTCTACCACTGTAGATAGTCTTACCGACATTGGTAAAGGTGGTGAAGACGTGACGAACCATGGCGAACATCATCCAGCAAAATATAGAAAGGGGGGGTCAGGTGGTCATATTCAAATTTATCATCTACCATCAGAGAAAGCATTTGTCAGGTTAGGTTAGTTGCTACATCATGGATAGTCTTTCCGACATCGGTAAATGTGGTTAAGACATGGCAGACAATGGAGAACATCGCCTAGCAAAATATAGACTGGGGGAGGTCAGGTGGTCATGGACAAACTTATCATATACTGTCAGAGTCAGAGTTTGTCAGATTTATACCACTGTGGATGGTCTTACTGACATTGGTAAAGGTGGTCAAGACATGACGAACAATGGCTACCATCGCCTAGCAAAATATAGACAGGGGGAGGTCAGGTCGATATACCAAAACCTATCATATACCACTAAATACTGTGTTCTCCGGGCTTTCCCCACATCGAAATCACCTCATAACATTGGTAAGTGAGGTTAAGATGTGTGGAACGACGAAGAACAAATATATGGAGAGGAGGAAGTCGGGTGGTCATACTGAAACTTATCATATACCACAAGAACCTGTGTTCGCCATGCTTCCACCACCTTAGGCAGTCTTACTAACATCGGCAAAGGTTGTGGTGACATGCTGAACAATGACGAACATGGTCTAGCGAAATGTGGACTGGGGGAATTTGGGTGGCCATACTGAAAGGTGTTTGCAAGGCTTCTACCATCTTACTCTGTCTGAATGATGTCGTGGTAAACCCATGGTACAGCAAAGTATCTACAGCGGGAAGTCGGGTGGTCATGCTGAAACCTATCGGTGTTCCATAGCCTTCAACACTTTGGATAGTCTGCCCGACCACTTTACAGGGGGAATCGATGGTAATGGTGCTAAACAGGTATACTACTGTATTTGGCATGAGGGCTGACCCACCCACCTTGTGATCAGTTTTATAAACTGGTCCATTACAGTGTCTCTATCAGGACATGGAGTCTTCATGCCTTGGACATGGTCAGTCTCACTGTATGTATATGGTGCACGACATGCACTATTCGCCTTACATTCCACTTACATAAGCGATCGATGATGGAGGAACATTTACAAGATAGATTATGTAATTGATCTTGACTACTACCATGGCTACCCAGTACTACCCGTCTTCCCTCGGATTCATCCACAATCTCAAAGCCTTGTCGAAAAAGGATCGACATGTTAGGTTGGCTCCAAGAGGCTCTGAAGGGTCCATCTGGCCATGCCAGGTCACCCATGCTGACAATAAAGTCGTGGTGGAGCTCCCCAATCACTACTACGAGCCTATTCAGGCTTTCACCTGGAGAGAAAAGGCGATCCGGCTGGTGCTTCACTTCAAGAAGAAGGAGGAGGTGGAGGTGGAAGAGCCGCTGGTGGAGAATCTGACCATGATCCTCGCATATATGAACAGGGTTTTCGTTCAAGTAGTTGCGGAGGCGAAGAAAGTCAAATGCAGAGATCGCACACTCGATTGGCGAAGTCCGACATTCGACAACTACTTATTGATAGAATATTTCGTGCAGGCGCCATGAACCGGCCCAGGTGAGGAATTACAGACGCAACAACGACCACAACATCATTGCACAAGAACAGGTTGTCAATGCCAAAGAAAAAGGAGGAGGCGAGTTAAGCGCCAGTAAAATTCTTAAGTGCCCGTGTACGGCATTCCGGTTTTCGACATATCTCCACCAATTCTGCAGACACCGAAACCATTCCCACACTCGCTTGTAGTGCTCAGCCACACGATCCTACCTTCCAAGATTGGAAAGGATTTGCGCACTCCACACATTTCTACAGCACTCCCTCCAAAAGACGCTCATTTTGCTAATTCTTCTGATATGGCTGCCTCCACATCAGTCATTTCGCTTGTCCCCTTTGCTAGGGACCATGGCTACATATATCTACCAGGAGTTCCTACCAGCTTCTGTCCTGAAGTGTCCTGGTACATCCCACCCTCATCTGCCCCCTCTCAGCCCATCCAGCTTGGACAGCGTGTTCTTTTTGTCAGTATGACCTCCAGGAGGACGTTCTTTGGTCGCCTCAGGTCTGTCATTCGCTTGGAAAGGTCTTATGTGGTCGTTTCAGTCTCTCCGGTCCAAGAAGCATATGGATCCTTCCTCCCTGCCCCCTGCAACGTCTTCATACCAGTCTTGTCCATCATTCTTCCAAAATTGCGATGGCTACAGTATAATCTACTGTTCTCCACTCTCCCTGATCGCATCCATGATGAGTATGATGCACATCTTGCCTCCTTGTTGCAAGATACAGCAGAAGACACTCCCCCTTCATCCTCTCTTCCAACAGAGCCTCATTCATGAAGTTTTTATTTGCTTCACTGAGAGGATGGTTTGGGGGGGAAAGTTGCAATCCCCTATGCTCCTGTCACCCCACAGACCCCCAAAGCTTGACCCCTGTTGACATCTGACTCACCCTGTCCGCTTTTGGATGTACTATGTCAGCATCAGATCAGTGCTGCCTCTCTGTCATCCCACTTTGGCCTAGAAGCGATCTCTTCGAGATGTGACATGCACAGCCTCCCCCTGATGTGATTCCAGTGCGCTTTCCCAGTTCCTGACATTGCTTGACTCATACTTTGACATTCTGACTGTCTTTGACTCACCTATTGCCAATACTTACCAATCTTTTGACTTTGCTTACTGATTCTTCGCTTTTTGGCTTACTTATCCTTACCAATGCTTACCAATGCTTTCCAAGATGATTACCCATCGCTTACATTCCTTACTCATCAGTTACCAATCGCTTACCAAGTGTTTGCACCTTGTTTTCCATAGGCAATGCCCCTGTACTGTATATAAGTCACTGTACTTAGGTAGCAAAAAAAGAAGACATCAGAGAGCCCCTCTTGCTTGCAATTTATCATCTCTCAGTAAATCATTCATCAGCTTTGATAGTTGAGACTTTATTAAGGGTCTAGCTATCATCTACTTCGCTTATTATCATCTATCATCCATATACTTCGCTCCAAGCCCTCCCTGAGCTCAGTACAGCTTAGGACATCAAATTAAGTCACCATCCATCCTTCTGTAGGCTGACAGCAGTCTACCCTATCGCTTTCTATCACATTCTTGCTCCCTCTTTGTCAGGAGCACCCCCAACCCTCAGCACTCATCTCTGAGTGTTGTAGCTTGCAGAAACCCTCCCAAAGAACAGGTTCTACCATCTAGGTACCGCATAGGCACACCACCACTCACTTTCATTGTCTTTTGTGTTGGTTTTGGTTGGTTTTCACCACTGAACCTCACTTTGACTCACACCGCGCCAGCATTGCAGAGGTTGGTAAGTGTTTCGATTTCCTTGCAACCTTTTGCTGCCATTCACATACTTATACCACAGACTGGGTTCACCATGAGCGTGCCCTGGGTGAGATGTGGTATGGGAGCCAGACTCAGTTCAAAATGGATGAGAAAATGAAGACTGTGGATGTGGCAAGGAAACTGATCGACGTGATGGTGGACTTCTATGATCCAGTGGAGGATGAGGACCCTGACTGTAAGCACAGGGATACTTTCTTTCCCCATCTACTGAATTCTAACTTGAAACAGTCGGATACACGTACAAAGAACATCTACAAGGCAGCGCTGCAGATAAAGGCAAGGGAAAGGCGCAGGGAGAGGAGAGGGAGATGATAGCATTGGAGGAGGTCATCGCGGTGGTGGGGTGCGTAGCAAGGGCAGGGGACGTGATAAGGGCAAGAGACGAGCGGGAGGGACTGTGAATCAGCGCAGAGCCTCTCAGAGGCTGAAAGATAAGCATAAGGAAACGTCCCCCATGCCATCGCCCTCTGGATCTGACCGCTCTTCGATGGATGTCTAAGGCATCGAAGATATCATTTGTACATATATATATTAATGTACTTGGTAGACATCTCCATCGATTGTCCATCAGACACAGAAGTGGGATCATAGGCAAGAAGTGCTGGGATTTCTCCCTGAGATTTTCCTGGAACTGGTGGTCTCCATTCATTAGACTAGAGATTTACAAATGTTTCCATTCCCATTCAGCAAAGCTACTTGACCAACGAAAAATCATGTCGAGTCCCATCACACTACAATGAATACACTAGATCAGATGCTGGCGCAACCTGAAGTTTGGCAGTCATGGGGTCTGTCATGCAATCGACAAGGAGGTGGGATTTATGGTGTTTCACATTCCACTGGCACTTGCAATGACTCCAGAAGCTACTATCACTATCACTATGCAGCTCTTGCCATTGAAATGGGCTGCGCATGAGAGGAGAAGATGAGGTGAATCCACCACATGTCATCGATCGGTCTTCGGTTGACAGAAATATACGATACACGTGCTACCGATCAAAGGCCTCATTAACATGGGACCGATTTAGGCAATATGCTGTGTTGCTACAAATTTCATCTTCATCCTTATCATTCAGCCTGATTCGAGATCGATCTCAACGACATGTCGGACTACTACTGGCAGCAATCACTCCCAACGCCACTGCAGATCGATTACATCAAGCAGATCATATACAAGTTGGAATATGTAGATCCCGAGCAGACCATGGTGAAGGTCACGTCTACGAATCTCTACCTGAAGATCACTGAGGACCGTGTATTGCTCCCCGGGCACTATTTCGAGTTCATACAATTGTTTTTCTGGAGGTATTACCTCCTGATGCGATTACATCTGCATTTCCAAAAGGCTCAGAGCAAACTGTATGCGAATTTCCGCCCCACCCTCCTCAGAAACATCGTCCATCTGGACAACATCATCGAAGCCCTCATCCGCCCAAGCATCGGTATGAAAGAAGAAGATATTCCAACACATCGCTGTCCCAGCTTCGAGGAATTCCTGGTGACGGAATACCTCATCGGCCGGCATGATCCCGAGTCGGTAAACAATTTCAGGGCACATTGCCCGACCAATCTTGAGAGATTGGTAGAACCCATTGGTGAGTCATCATACAGGTTTCCTTTATCATCCAAGTGTCTGATACGGTCATCAGAAATGGACTGGGATCGTTATGCTGATCGGTTGCCAGAATGTTTCTTTGGGGGGGAATACCATTGGGAGGTAGATTCGGTTCCTGATGAAGACCTTCCGAAGATGTGGGAAGAAGTGGTCGAATGGTATTCACAAGAACTGGACCCACATTGGAGTGAGTGACGTTTCCAATCCAATAACATTTATTCTGACATTACATCGATTACATCAATAGTATCTCAGTGGGTGGTATGGGATGAGGGGCCTGGTTTCAATGATGAAGAAAAGGGTACAGATGATGGGGGATCGGATGGGGACATAGATCAACAGAACATGAGCGATGTGGACCAGGACATGGAGCATGGAGATGATACGAATGCTGAGATCGGTGGGAGAGAGGATCATGGAGGGGAAGGGGGCAATGGGGGGAGTGGACGCGATGAGAATGAAGAAGAGGGCAGCGAGGGCAGCACCGATATGGGGAAAAATGATGGAGGTGGGGAACAGGACTCCGACGTCCCCCCTCCTGCAAACCAGGCAAGTGCATTTCATCTCAACAGGCGTCACTGAACCTCACAATCCGATGTCAGCTGGCTGTGACACGGAAGCGGCAGTTGTCAGAGGGCAGCGACGAAGAAGAGGGTGGCCAACGGAAAAGACCATCTCCAAACCCTCCTGCTGCACGTCCCGACAGGGAAGGCGACCAGCCTATAGGGTTTAGTCAGCACTTGCTACGGATGATTGGTCGACCTCCCCCCCGTAAGTAATTAATATCGATTGCTTTGTACTCTCCTGTGGAAACGCATATGAATATACTGTTTTCATCACGATAGCCCATTGGTCTCCGCCGCTAGATTCAGACATGATTGAATCACCAGTCGACTTCCCGTTGGAATCGTATTCTCAAGGTGCTAGCATTGTAAATGAGGGCCTAGATCCCACACCATTTCCAGTGGCTGCGGGGGATGATGAAATGGCTACCCATGGTGACATTCCGCCTGTAGCAGATGATCCACCTGCGAACCAGCGATCTGGGAGGGAGCGTGGAGGGAGGCAGAAAGGAAAGGGGGTGGCGACGACGAAGGAATTCATTACCACACAGCTCCTGCAAAGCCAGAAATCCTCAGGCACCCCTCAATCGGAGCTTGCTTATGATTTCGATATGATCAACGTGACAGTCAGTCCAAGGAAGCGCACCATCGCCAGAACACTGCCTGAAGGAATGCAGGAGGTTGCTCCGACGCCTGGTCCATCTAAGATTAACCAACCACTCACGTCGACCAATACACAAACTCAAATGACACTCGATAGCGAGGAGGTAGCTACATTCCTGAAAACGATTCCTGGCGTTGTCCGATCATTAGCCAAAGGTTGCAAGGACAGAGAGGATGGTATCAACGAACAGGTATTAAATTGTCCAGTGTCATCATTCTTGTTCCGTGCTCGTTGACTTGTGTATTTCAGTTCAAGCAATTTTTCTTGAATTTGAGAGCGATCAGCAAGGTGCATGGACAGAAGGTCTCTGATGTTTTTTCACATCTCAAAGCCACCAATGAAATGCATGTATGTTGCACTCCAATGTCTATCCCTAGGATTGTACACCTATGCCCATTTACAGCGGATGCTCATGGCAGATGCAGCATACTTGGGTTTGCATCTGCAGAAGATGGAAAGAACGAAGGACACGGTCATCGACATCAATGTCAAGAAGGGGTACTTGATACTTGCAAATCAATCTGGCTTGGGGATGAAAAAGAATGCTTAGATAAATCGAATGTGTAGTGGTCGTTTGAATGGTTATTATGATGGAACAGTCAACAGATGTCTGAAGAGCGGGAAAGTAGCAAGATATAAACAGGGGGGAAGCCAGGTGGCCATACCAAATTTTAACATATAGTGCCAGAGCCAGCGTTCGGCAGGATTTTACCACCTTGAATGGTCTTACCAACATTGGTAAAGGTGTTTAGGACGTGACGAACAATGGCAAACATGGTCTAGCAAAATATAGAAAGGAGCGGGTCAGGAGGCCATGCACACACTTATCATATACCATTGCAGAAGGTGTTCGTCAGGTTGCTACCACCTCTAACTGTCTTACTAACACTGGTAGAGGTGTGTATGACGTGACGAACAATGGCGAACATGGTCCAGCAAAATATAGAAAGGGGGAGGTCAGGAGGTCATGGACAAACTTATCATATACCATTGCAGAAGGTGTTCGTCAGGTTGCTACCACCTTGAATGGTCTTACCAACATTGGTAAAGGTGTTTAGGATGTGACGAACAATGGCGAACACGGTCTAGCAAAATATAGAAAGGGGCAGGTCAGGAGGTCATGCACAAACTTATCATATACCATTGCAGAAGGTGTTCGTCAGGTTGCTACCACCTTGAATGGTCTTACCAACACTGGGTAAAGGTGTGTAGGACGTGACGAACAATGGCGAACATGGTCCTAGCAAAATATAGAAAGGGGCGGGTCAGGAGGTCATGGACAAACTTATCATATACCATTGCAGAAGGTGTTCGTCAGGTTGCTACCACCTTGAATGGTCTTACCAACATTGGTAAAGGTGTTTAGGATGTGACGAACAATGGCGAACATGGTCTAGCAAAATATAGAAAGGGGCGGGTCAGGAGGCCATGCACACACTTATCATATACCATTGCAGCAAGGTGTTCGTCAGGTTGCTACCACCTCTAACTGGTCTTACCAACACTGGTAGAGGTGTGTAGGACTGTGACGAACAATGGCGAACACGGTCTAGCAAAATATAGAAAGGGGCGGGTCAGGAGTTCATGCACAAACTTATCATATACCATTGCAGAAGGTGTTCGTCAGGTTGCTACCACCTTGAATGGTCTTACCAACATCTGGTAAGGTGTTTAGGATGTGACGAACAATGGCGAACACGGTCTAGCAAAATATAGAAAGGGGCGAGGTCAGGAGGCCATGCACACACTTATCATATACCATTGCAGAAGGTGTTCGTCAGGTTGCTACCACCTCTAACGGTCTTACCAACACTGGGAGAGGTGTGTATGACGTGACGAACAATGGCGAACACGGTCTAGCAAAATATAGAAAGGGGCGGGTCAGGAGTTCATGCACAAACTTATCATATACCATCACAGCAGGTGTTCGTCAGGTTGCTACCACCTTGAATGGTCTTACCAACACTGGTAAAGGTGTTCAGGATGTGACGAACAATGGCGAACACGGTCTAGCAAAATATAGAAAGGGGCGGGTCAGGAGGCCATGCACACACTTATCATATACCATTGCAGAAGGTGTTCGTCAGGTTGCTACCACCTCTAACGGTCTTCCCAACACTGGGAGAGGTGTGTATGACATGACGAACAATGGCGAACACGGTCTAGCAAAATATAGAAAGGGGCGGGTCAGGAGGTCATGGACAAACTTATCATATACCATTGCAGAAGGTGTTCGTCAGGTTGCTACCACCTCTAACGGTCTTACCAACACTGGTAAGGTGTCTAGGACGTGACGAACAATGGCGAACACGGTCTAGCAAAATATAGAAAGGGGCGGGTCAGGAGGTCATGGACAAACTTATCATATACCATTGCAGAAGGTGTTCGTCAGGTTGCTACCACCTCTAACGGTCTTACAAACACAGGTAAAGGTGTCTAGGACGTGACGAACAATGGCGAACATGGTCTAGCAAAATGTAGAAAGGGGGAGGTCAGGTGGTCATGCACAAACCTATCATATACAATCGCAGGAGGTGTTCGTCGGGTTGCTACCACCTTTAATGGTCTTACCAACAGTGGTGAAGGTGTCTAGGACATGCCGAACAATGGCGACCATGGTCCGGAAAAATATAGAAAGGGGGAGGTCAGGCGGTCATGCACGAATTTATCATATACCATCATGGCAGGTGTTCGTCGGGTTGCTACCACCGTGGATGGTCATTGTACCATTGGTAAAGACGTGTAAGACGTGACGAACAGTGGCGAACATGGTCTAGCAAAAACCTGACTGGATGAAGTCAGGTGGTCATGCTCAGACTTATCATATGCCACTGGAGTGTGTGTTCACCAGCTTTTCGCCACGTTCCAACATCCTTCTGACATTTCTAAATGTGGCCTCAATGCATAGAACGATGACGAACATGGTCTAAAAAAATATCAACAGTGGGAAGTGAAGTAGGTATGCCGGAACTCATTACATCCCAGCGCAACCTGTGTTCACTGGCTTTCTATTACTTTGTATAATCATTATGACATCTGCACAGGCGGGTAGGACGTGACAAATAATAGTGAACATGCTCTAGGGAAATATAAACAGGGGGAGGCCAGGAGCTCGTAACGGAGGTGTTCACATATACCACCACACGCAGTGTTTGACAGCTTTCAAACACATTGGTTGGTCTGGCTAACGTGATCGGTGGTGATTAGAATGTGCTGAACAGTGGTGATCGTGGATCTAGCAAGATATAAAGAGGCTGAAGTCAGGAATGGCTCCGTTGCCAACGATCCACTTTAGTATATGCTGTGCGATATTAGTGCGGTGCTTCCTTATCGGTCCACTCCATCGTTCTCATTTGACGTTGACCCACGAAAAAATGTCTGACTACTACTGGCAACCCTCCAAAGCTACAGATACTCAAATGGACTACATCACCCAGGTCTGGTACACTGTTACATCCGGTGCCTGGCAACAGGGCAATTATGGAAATCAAACAAAGCAACCTGAACGACGACGAAATCACTGCATCGCATCAGGGCATTTATCCCCGTATTCTATGGTACTCATGTAACTCTCTTCCTGTGGAGGTACTACCTCCTCATCGAGCTGTTCTTGCGATTCAAGGAGAATACTGACGACAAATACATGGAATTTCTACCGACTCTGATCAGCAACATCGTCCATCTGGACAATGTAATAGAATCGCTCATCCGCCCCTGCCTGAATGTCCCCCTGGCAGAGCTACCTGATTATCGTTCCAATAACTTCGATGAATACTTGGTGACGGAGTACCTGATTGGCCGGCACGATCCCCAGTCTGTCAACTACTTCCGAGCTCATTGCCCTGACCAATATAGAGCGCATCTCAATGGAAGGATTTGGTGAGTTATCCAAGAGTTTCATCGTTATCATACAGTCTGACAGCTTCATTCAGACTGGAAGGCATATTCCGATCGTATCCCTGAACCGATGGATGGGGCAGATTACGACTGGGATATCGAACAGCTGCCCTATGATGACTACGAAGAAGTATGGGATGCAGTAGAGGAATGGTATGGCTGGAACCCCGATCCACAGTGGAGTGAGTGACATGCCCATGACACAGTTCGTTTGATTCTGACCTTATATTCCTAGTATCTAGGTGGGTGAAGTGGGAGGACGAACGCATGGCGGAGGGGGAGAAGGAGCAACATTCCCTCCCTTCCACAGCCCAGGCAAGTCGTTTTATGTATCTCCTACGTGTTTCAGTGGCTCGATACATTAAGTACAGAAGCGAGGAAGGGGGGACAGCGATGTGGAAGGAGATGAACGGCCAGGAAAGAGGATTCCAAAGCCCATGGCTGAAGTGGAGGCGACGCAGTCTCAGTGACAATATGCAACATGTATTACATGTACCACATCCATCCAGTCGTTAGAACGTGCAAAACGATTGTTAACATGTTCCAACGAGATCACGCCAGGGGGAAACGTCATGATGCTACATCCACAACCCAGAACAAAATGTAATGCATTCGACGAAGAAAATACCATACAGCCGATACAGCTACTTATTGCGGGAGTAAAGACTTGCCAGGCTGGGACGGAACCCCACTGGATTCTCTGCAGGAATTGCAGAACTCGAGGCAGTGGGGGCGCCTGATTCTCCATTGCTTCCTGTCTGCCTCTGCTGTAACATCAATGTATAAATACGCTACAGACACTTCGCCCGACATCATGCTACTTGCCTGGTTTGAAGGAGGTGGATCAGAGTTCTCCATGCCTCCCATTGGAACATTGCCGCCCTGGCTCCCAGCTCCAGGTCCTCCTGCCTCATCATCCCCAGCTCCAGTCCCCACATTTCCCTCATCTGCATCGCCTGTAGATTGCATGCTGGCAACCACCCCATCTATCTCGACCCATGGGACCCATTTAGATACTGCCCATGTAAATGATCAACCGATCGTCAGGGTGTAAGTAGGAGATCTGACTTACTCCATGCTGGGTCTGGCTGCCGTGAATACCATTCGACCGCTTCGTCCCACAGAATCGTAAAGTCAGCATCTGGGATATTTTCCACGTCCCAATCGTATCGTTCCCCATAAAGCCTTGTGGGGACACGCTCCTTGTAGGCATCCCAGCTCCATTCTGATGTACATGTCAGTGAATTGGATTGGAATAGAATCTTCAAACCTGTAAAAAGCCTCACCAAACTCGTACATAATTCTCTCGATATTGATGGGGCAATGTGCCCTGAAGTAGTTAACCGAGTTGGGATCGTGCCGCCCAACGAGATATTCCAGTGCAAAGGTATTCTTCGAAATTGGCAGATCGGAAACCTTGGATATCTTGCCTTTCGATCAACGTGCACGGGCGAATGAAAGCCTCGAGTACATTGTCCAGGAGGACGATGTTTCTCAAGAGATGTGGACGAAACTCCGTGTACTTTTTGTGGGGGTTCTTCTTGAAATGGACGTGGAGATCGATGAGGAGGTAATACCTCCAGAGTGTATGGGTGAGAGCCTTGTGATAGCAGGTGGGAATGAAGGTGCGATGTTCTGTTATCTCGTCGTTGAGATTAGTGCATGTTATCCGGATCGTACCATCTGCTAGCTCCTCCGATCGATAGTAGATCTGTAGAATGTATTTCATCTGGGTGATTGTCGGGAGCGATTGTTGCCAGTAGTAGTCAGACATGCTGCGATGGAGGCTTAATCGAATCGATCGGAGTGATCGAAGAGGATCGGCACACCATGCCATATATATTCTAAATAGGACTTCTGGCGTAGGGTCAGGGTTACTCCTGTCTACGATAACCTACCTTTGGACGTATCGCATTACCGTATCCACAGTCGCATTCCTGTGTCATCGAAAAACACATATATATATGGTGGGGTGGCCTGCGAAGATACGGTATATTGAAATGAAAACGCAGCAGGGCATTAAAAGCTATCTACAAAGTTGGGACCCTAAACTTCCTCGTCGTCAGGCAGCACAGGCCCCTTCTTATTCACCCGCTTGAATACTCTGGGCCCCGGCATGTGCCTCTTGAGCGGTTTCACTTCCCCTGCCTCCTCCAAGTGCTCTTTATACGTGTATCCAACTGTGTCGAAGTCAAAAATCAGTGTTGTAAGAAAAGCATGTCGGTGATACTCACAATCGGGATCCTCCTCCACGATGGGATCATAAAATTCAATCATAACATCCAGCAGCCTCTGTGCAACGTCCAGAGTCTTGTACTTCTCCTCCATCTTGAACTGAGTGGCACTTCCATACCAGATCTCGCCGAGGGTGTCCTCGTGTGCTTGCCAGTCTATGTTATATGGTAGTCCATGGCCAGGAATGGGATGAGAATCAAGTGGAAAGGCTTACTGATGTCTTCGATGCTCTGCATGTTGATGTTGTAGTTGTTCTTCCGCCTATACTCCCTGACCATCTCTGGTTCATGACGCTCCACGTGATATTCGATCAGAATGTAATTGTCGAATGTAGGGCTGCGCCAGTCAGGCACACGAGCATCCCTCTTGGTCGATTTGGCTTCCCTGACCATCTGAGTGAAGACCCTGTCCATATAAACGAGTATCAAGGTTAGATTGGCCTTGAGCCGGTCTTGAACCTCGAGCTCCTCCTGGAACTGGAGCACCAGCCTTATCGCCTTTTCTCTCCAGAAGAATGCTTGTAGGTGCTCATAGTAATGGGCTGGGAGCTGTGCGACTATGTCTCCCGTGTCACCGATGACTTGCGATGTCCAGCTAGATTCGTTCCCTGCAGCCAATCGCACGCTACGATCGTTCTCCAGCACGGATTCGATCCTGGACTGGCTAACAGAGCCCAAAGAGGATGGAAAGTACTGGGTGGCCATGACGAATGTAGATCAACCAATCTATCGATGATTCCTTAGTCTACATGGCCATCGATTGCTTATGTAATCAAGATGCATACCTCGCGAGGCGATTAGAATGTGTAGTGCACCACTAAACCTCCACCTGAGAGGTGGAGATAATCATGCCAAAGGCTCAAAAACACCATGTCAGCAATGGCGGGCTATGAAGTCTGCATTCATACCTGTAATGGCGCGGTATGTCAATCTGGTGGCCGGGGTGTTTGGAAGAAGGAAGGGGGATCGTGCCTACTGGCATGCCAAAACCCACAATTCACACTTAAATTGCATGGAGACGTGTCCAGGATATAATGCGCTTGTGAATAGTCATGTCGGGCGATCTGGAAAAGCACGAGAAGCTACTCGGAAAGAGCTTATCGCTCATCTCTCATTATTCGAAGCTGCAGGGGAGCTCAGGAGACTTGGGCAACCCCTGGCTCCTGGGATGGAATCATTATTTCTGTGAGTGGCCCGATGTCTGGAGAGTGCAGCACAGCAACTAAAAATCCCCAGACCAACACCCACCACAGGTGATGAGGACATAGTGATGGAAGATGGTGCGACTTTGCCACCAGGATGGAACGATCCCGGTCCATCCATCCACATGTCAACATACTCTGCATCGAGGTCCACATCCGGATCGCCAGCATCATGTGCTGGTGCGGGTCCATCCAGGTTAAGTCCACTTACCCATGATGGTTGCACATATTGGCCTTCTAGGCCTTCATCATCTGCTGGGCGATCGGCGGTGATCTCAAGATCTCCATCAGCAATGGGAGACATGGAGAGCCGTGTTTCGAGCTCTCCATCAGCATTCTCATTCGCATCGCCATACCCATTTCATTCGCAGGGGTCTACATCGAAAGATACACCACTCGATATCCTCTACATCCCAGACCCAAGCCGCGAGGTGAAATCGAAGAATGAGGCAAAGGAAGATCTAGGATGGGCGACCCGCTGTATAAAACCTCACCAATATGAGGTTATCAAGGAGCTCGGAAAATTCGTATACAAACTATCAGAAAGCAAAGAGGGCGTGAAGGTGGTGGTCAGCGAATGGGTAGGCCCCCTTTTCACCCACAGGTGCAGTTCGGTCTGCTGATGTATGCTTCGCAGCTTTGGTTGGCAATGAACATGGAAGAGTACAACGATGGCAACGCATTCGAGCTGAAGTACATGAAGTGGGCAGACTTCAAGGCCATCGTACTCGATCCGATCAGCCAGCAATCTAAATGGAATGAGCTCGTACGGATGGACTGTATAATCGGAGGCATCGACTACACGATCGATTTCCGGTGAGCGATGAAATTACAATTGCACCTTGGAGGCATGGTTCCGATATGGCCTTCAGATGCAAAGGAAACCCATATGGGCTCGAACGAGATGGAACTGCGCACATACGAAAATCACTTCGCACTTCTCAGCCGTCAAGTACAGTTTTGGCCCCCACCAGATCAGGTTCGGACTGCTGCTGTCAAGTGGGAGACCCTGGCACACCTGCAGGCAATTTCAGCTATCCACAGATGGGTGGTACCGGAAATGCATATAATTAGCGATGGGGACCCTATCGACGATTCCTACGTCCTGAAGCGGAGTCACAGCGACTGTGGCAAACATGTGATACTTCCGACCGCCCCGAAATCAAGCCGCACCTGGGCCCATCTCAAGAATAACACGAACGAGGACTCGGACGAGGTATGGATTGCCCAACAATATATCCCAAGCTTGGTGTTCCTTGGGGAGTGGCGGGTAATCATAGTCGGAGGGCAAATCATGTCCTGTCACACATACACATCAGTTAAACAATGGCGGCTGGTCTGGAATCCCGGTCACAAGTTTTCTGTCATTGGAGGAGGCGGGCGAAATATGGTATGATGCACTCTCATCATGCTTATCGTACTTAGAACTGGATCTCGCCAACAGGAAGGATGAGTCGCTAAGCATTGCTGAACAGAGGAAGAAGATTGTGAATCCGCAAAGGGGAGATATCGAAACAAGGCAGAGAGCGATGGATGAGTTCAACAACTTCGTGCTAAAAGCCTGGGCAGAACTAGTCGCACGAGAAACTGAGGGTCGGTGGCGCAAGACCTTCCATGTCATTGTTTTGTCGAATGGATATCAGGATCATGGCCCCAGATGGCATGAGCCCGAAGCTACGGCTGGGATACTTTGTCAACGAGGTGGAACGTACTCTGACGACGAGCTTCTGGCTATTCTGGAACATAAACAACACCGGGAGGAATCATGGCAGACACATTCGCAAAGCTGTTCGAGAAATGGGTCAGATCGAATCACCAATGTATACTGCATAGCATAACCCCACATACGATGACATACATGGCACCGTCTAATATTTACACTTGTAACGACGTGAAGACATCAGTACTATACTATATGGAAAACTCTGAGAGGGTAACGACAGCTTCTTTGTGCATGCACATAATATTTTATAGACTCTCACTAGTATACTATGTTGTGTAGAATACATGGTACACGACTTCAGCAACATATGAGTGTATGCAGCGTGGCTGACCACCCCATTAAGAGATGATGCTGGCCCACTTGGAATGGTGTTCAGTCCTCCTTAATCCATATGCATTGACCTTATAGAGTCGTCTCAAGGTCCATCCACTATGATGAACATCGAAAGAACACCAGCAAACACCAGCGAAAATCGATCCAGTGCCATGGCCCCTGTCCAAATTGACCGTGACAGCCTGTGACTCGTTTTGGAGCAGATGGAACGTCATTCGCAGCCTCTGGTAGGTCGATCGACTTTCAGTGTGCCCACCCAACCACCCCTGCTGAGACCATGCTGCACCACTTGAAACAGTGTTCGTACCATCGAAACCTCATTCCCTGCACTCAGGTAGATAGGTACAGGTCCGTACAATATGGGGAACGACAGCCAACACAGACAAACACCAGCGAACATCAACCCCGTACCAAAGCCCCTATCCAGACCGTGTCCGAATGCTGGGAGACCCTTGGAACTGGTTCAAGCACATTGATCATCATTCCCAGATTCTTGTATTTCTATATTACTGCACATATTACCATGAAATAGAATAGAGAATCTACATCAGATAGTATACCAGTATGCCCACTGGGCCTAACATACATCATGTAACATACCAATGTTCCTGTCTGACCAATCCCCCTCGTGGCACACTGGACCACTTGAAGTGGTGTTCGTCCCCCCTAGAACCACCTCAATCGACCTTATTTTGACATACACAGGTCCGTATAGCAGGACGAACACCGACAAACACTGACAAACATTGACAAACATTAACCTATCCCATCTGACCACTCCCCCTCGGGGCATGCCAGATCCATTGAAGTGGTGTTCGTCCCCCCTAGGACCACTTCAATCGACCTGATTTGGACATTCACAGGTCTGTACAGCAGGATGAACACTGACAAACACTGACGAACATTGACGAACATTGATTCAGAACCGAAGCCCCTGTCCACATTGACTGGGACACCCTGAGACCTGTTTTGGAGTGCACTAACCATCTTTCCCGGACTCTGCTAGGTCTATGGCATGTCTTGTAATACAAATAAAATACATAGTATAACATACCAATGTTCCAATCTGACCACTCCCCCTCGGGGCATGCCAGATCCATTGAAGTGGTGTTCGTCCCCCATAGGACCACTTCAATCGACCTGATTTGGACATTCACAGGTCCGTACAGCAGGACAAACACTGACAAACACTGACGAACATTGACGAACATTGATCCAGAACTGAAGCCCCTGTCCACATTGACTGGGACACCCCAAGACCTGTTTTCTAGTGCACTAACCATCTTTCCCTGACTCTGCTAGATCTATGGCATGTCTTGTAATACAAATAAAATACATAGTATAACATACCAATGTTCCCATCTGACCACTCCCCCTCAGGGCATGCTGGATCCCTTGAAGTGGTGTTCGTCCCCCCTAGGACCACTTCAATGGACCTTATTTTGACATTAACAGGTCCTTACAGCAGGACGAACACCAACGAACACCAACGAACACTGACGAACACTGACGAACATTGATCCAGAGCTGAAGCCCCTGTCCACATTGACTGGGACACCCTGAGACCTGTTTTGAGTGCACTAACCATCTTTCCTCGACTGCACTAGGTCTATTGCATGTCTTGTAATAGAAGTAAACTACATAGTATAACATACCAATGTTCCCATCTGACCACTCCCCCTCGGGGCATGCTGGATCCCTTGAAGTGGTGTTTGTCCCCCCTAGGACCACTTCAATCGACCTTATTTTGACATTAACAGGTACATACAGCAGGACGAACACCAACGAACACCAACGAACACTGACGAACATTGACGAACATTGATCCAGAACTGAAGCCCCTGGCCACATTGACTGGGACACCCCTAGACCTGTTTTCGAGTGCACTAACCATTTTCCATGACTCTGCTAGGTCTATGGCATGTCTTGTAATACAAATAAAATACATAGTATAACATACCAATGTTCCCATCTGACCACTCCCCCTCGGGGCATGCTGGATCCCTTGAAGTGGTGTTCCTCCCCCCTAGGACCACTTCAATCGACCTTATTTTGACATTAACAGGTCCGTACAGCAGGACAAACACCAACGAACACCAACGAACACTGACGAACATTGACGAACATTGATCCAGAACTGAAGCCCCTGTCCACATTGACTGGGACACCCCGAGACCTGTTTTCGAGTGCACTAACCATTTTCCATGACTCTGCTAGGTCTATGGCATGTCTTGTAATACAAATAAAATACATAGTATAACATACCAATGTTCCCATCTGACCACTCCCCCTCGGGGCATGCCGGATCCCTTGAAGTGGTGTTTGTCCCCCCTAGGACCACTTCAATCGACCTTATTTTGACATTCACAGGTCCACACAGCAGGACGAACACCAACGAACACCGATGAACATTGATCCAGAACTGAAGCCCCTGTCCACATTGACTGGGACACCCTGAGACCTGTTTCGAGTGCACTAACCATCTTTCCTCGACTGCACTAGGTCTATTGCATGTCTTGTAATACAAGTAAACTACATAGTATAATATACCAATGTTCCCGTCTGACCACTCCCCCTCGGGGCATGCTGGATCCCTTGAGGTGGTGTTTGTCCCCCCTAGTACCACTTCAATCGACCTTATTTTGACATTTATAGGTCCGTACAGCAGGGAGAACGCTGACGAACACTGACAAACACTGATGAACACCAATGAACATCGCTCCAGAACCGAAGCCCCTGTCCAAATTGACTGGGACACCCAGCGACTTGTTTCGAGTGCACTAACCATCTTTCCCTTTCCATGACTCTCCTACATCTATTGCACATCTGGTAATACAGCTAAAATACATCAGATAATATACCTAACTATGCTATGCAGATTTGTATTTTTCGAAGACGTTAAAGAGTTCGCATACCGGTCCACGATCTCTCCAGTTCTTTTTCAGCATCCATTACCTGAAGGGCCTTCTTGAGATGCGATATTATTTTCTTCGCTGCTTCCAACTCATTGGCTATCTCTTTCCTCATGTTATCCCTCTCATCCATGGCAGGCATATGATCCACATCTTCGGCTGACTTGTACTTTCCTTTCTTGCTCTCTATACAGCCCCTGGGGGAATTATAATTACAAACTCCCGACCATAATTTGGGGGAAATAATGCTGGGAGTCGATAGATATGTCCATTGGGATGTCTCAGGTGAAATTTGAATGAAATTGGCGGTCGGAAAAAAAATCTACAGGGGGTAGAAGGATGGTCAGACCACAAAGTGGTATCTCTTTGGAAATACTTCTGGGAGGCTGGAAATCATTTCCATTGTCTTCAGTGGCATTGATAACACCCAGGACATCCATCCCTGGCAAGCTGGCACCCCCTCCTGATGTTACTGGATCGCCATCCCTGGGGTATGAGGAGGGGATCAGGTATGTCGATGAAACAAATATGGGGACCTTTGTAACACAATTCTGATGGTCTTGTAATGTCATACCCATGGGGTAGACATGATTCAGATAGCTAGATCAACCTCTGAAATTGTTTTGATGGAGTGAACATGGGGAGGGCAGGGTAACATATCTTACATGGATATTCTGACACCTAGAAATGCTGCAACCATTGTCATCATCCATTGTGACTTTCAGGCCCTCCAGGACAACCATTCCTGACAAGCTTTCATGCTTGCTAATCTTTACAGGATTAGCACCCCCAGGATAAGAGGAGGGGAATGAGACATAGGGTCCTTTCTGGTGTGATCCAAATTGTCCTGCCATGTCATTCGAGTGGCACAGACATGGTATGGACAGCTGGATTGATCTGGAATTGTTTTGATGGAGCAAAGCTGAAGAGGGGGGTTCACATTTGGGCCAGGTATCATCCCAAGATGCCAAACATGTTGCTACCTGATCAGACTACACTAGGCAACACTGGGATTCAGTTCCACAGGAATGGGAACCACAATCTATATCAACAAAGGTCTGGTTCAGAGTCCAACTCTGAATGGCATCTTCCAAAGATGTTGGCTCTGGCTTTCCCTCTGAACCTCTCAGCCAAGTTGCATCCAACTGGATCCAAAGCTGACAGGTAAACAGAATGAAAAGTTTCCCAACCACTGGCCCCAGACTGGACAGTTGGGCTGACCACTTCCAGTCCTGCATGATCAACCAAGGCTGCAGTTGGATGGTCCTTGACAATTTGGCCCATGTCAGTCTGCTGCTAATGGGAAATTGTTTGCAAACACCAGCAAACATCGAGCCAGCACCATGGCCTCTGTCCAAATTGACTGTGACAGCCTGTCACTCATTTTGGAGCAGATGGAACATCATTTGCAGCCTCTGGTAGGTCAATCGACTTTCATGTAATCCAAATAAATTACATTGGATATTCTATCAGTGTGCCCACCCGACCACCCCTGCTGAGACCATGCTGCACCACTTGAAATGGTGTTCATACCATGGAAACCTCTTCCCCTGCTCTCAGGTTGATAGGTACAGGTCCATACAATATGGGGAATGACAGACAACACAGATGAACACCAGCGAACATCAACCCCTTACCAAAGCCCCTATCCAGACCATGTCCAAATGCTGGGAGACCCTGGGACCTGGTTCAAGCACATTGATCATCATTCCCAGATTCCTGTATGTCTATATTACTGCATGTATTACAATGAAATACAGAATCTACATCAGATAGTATACCAGTATGCCCACTGGATCACCCTGCCTCGGAGCATGCTGGCCCACTTGGAATGGTGTTCATCCATACAGGCCCACTTGCATGGGTCTTGTAGTACCATGTCCTGGTCCGTCCACCATGACAAACACTGATGAACATGGGCAAACATTTGTGAACATCAGTCCAGCATGGATGGCCCTGAGTAAACATACTGGAGCACTTGTTTACTTGTTTGGAATGCATTAATCAGCTTTTCCAGACTCCCCTAGGTCGATTGCATGTCTGGTAATACAAATAAAATACATCAGATAACATATCAATGTTCCTGTCTGACCACTCTCCCTCATGGCATGCTGGACCATTTGAAGTGGTGTTTGTCCCTCCTAGATCAATTGCAATTGACCTTGCTAGGACATTTACAGGTCCATACAGCCAGACGAACACCAATGAACACCAATGAACATCACTCCAGAAGCAATGCCCCTGTCCACATTGACTGGGACACCCTGCGACTTGTGTGGAATGCATTAATCACTTTTCCCAGACTCTCCTAGGTCTATTGCATGTCTGGTAATACAACCAAAATACATCTTATAACATTCTGATGTTCCCATCTGACCACTCCCCCTTGGAGCATGCTGGGCTGCTTGACGTGGTGTTCATCCCCCCTAGCTCAATTGCAATTGACCTGTTCTGAACATGTCTAGGTCTGTACAGCAGGGCGAACACCAACACACACCGAAGAACACTGTTCCAGAACCAAAGCCCCTGTCCACATTGACTAGGACACCCTGTGACTTGTTTAGAGTGTGCTAACCATCTTTGCCTGACTCTCCTATGTCAATTGCATGTCTTGTAATACAACCTACATACATGATATAACATACCAATGATCCTGTCTGACCACTCCCCATCATGGCATGCTGGACCCTTGAAGTGGTGTTTGTCCCCCCTAGGACCACCAAAGTCGACCTAATTTGGACATCCACAGGTCCATACAGCAGGACGAACACTGACGAACACTGACGAACACCAATGAACATTGATCCAGAACCGAAGCTCCTGTCCACATTGACAGGGACACCTGGAGACCTGTTCTGAGTGTACTAACCATCTTTGCCTGACTCACCTATGTCTATTGCATGTCTGCATGTCTGGTAATACAACTAAAATACATCTTAAGACATACCAATGTTCCCATCTGACCACTCCTCCTCAGAGCATGCCGGATCACTTGAAGTGGTGTTCGTCCCCCCTCGGACCACCTCAATCGACCTAATTTGGACATCCACAGGTCCATACAGCAGGACGAACCCCATCGAACACCAATGAACACCAACAAACAGCAACAAACACCAATGAACATTGATCAAGCACCAAAGCCCCTGTCCACATTGACTGGGACACCCTGTGACTTGTTTAGAGTGCACTAACCATTATTCCCTGACTCTCCTATGTCAATTGCATATCTGGTAATACAACCTACATACATGATATAACATACCAATGATCCTGTCTGACCACTCCCCATCATGGCGCACTGGACCCCTTGAAGTGGTGTTCTTCCCCCCTAGGACCACTGCAATCGACCTAATTTGGACATCCACAGGTCCATACAGCAGCACGAACCCCATCAAACACCAACGACCAGCAACAAACACAAACAAACACCAATGAACATTGATCCAGAACTGAAGCCCCTGTCCACATTGACTTGGACACCCTGCAACTTGTGTAGAGTGCACTAACTATCTTTCCCCAACTCTGCTATGTCTATTGCATGTCTGGTAATACAACTAAAATACATCTTAAAACATACCAATGTTCCCATCTGACCACTCCTCCTCAGAGCATGCTGGATCACTTGTAGTGGTGTTCGTCCCCCCTTGGACCACCTCAGTCGACCTAATTTGGACATCCACAGGTCTGTACAGCAGCACGAACCCCATTGAACACCAATGAACACCAACAAACACGAACAAACACCAATGAACATTGATCCAGAACCAAAGCCCCTGTCCACATTGACTGTGACACCCTATGACTTGTTTCGAGTGCACTAACCATCTTTCCCTGACTCTCCTAGGGTCTATTGCATGTCTGGTAATACAACTAAAATACATGATATAACATACCAATGTTCCCATCTGACCACTCCTCCTCAGAGCATGCTGGATCGCTTGAAATGGTGTTCGTCCCCCTAGGACCACCTCAATCAGCCTAATTTGGACATCCACAGGTCTGTACAGCAGGACAAACACTGATGATCACCAATGAACATTGATCCATAACTGAAGCCCCTGTCCACATTGACTGGGACACCCTGAGACCTGTTTCAAGTGTACTAATCATCTTTTGCTGACTCCCCTAGGTCTATTGCATGTCTTGTAATACACATAACATACATAGTATAACATACCAACATTTCCATCTGACCACTCCTCCTTGGGGCATGCTGGACCCCTTGAAGTGGTGTTCGTCCCCACTAGGACCACCTCAATCGACCTAATTTGGACATCCACAGGTCCAT